TATTACTATCATCATTCTTTTTTTTCTGTTGTTCTTTATCATGGTTAGCTTGATTTATCAATTACCTTTTCTTATTTCAATTATTAATCTCCTCATTACACCCGTGTATTTATAACGAACAAAATTTCGATATTTTATAATATTCAGAATATCTCTCGCTGCATATTCGGAAATTTCTGGTGACGTAAAAGATGTCCTCATGACATGAAGATATTTAATGGCAATTGTTGTTAGAAACAGAGCACTAAATATTTCCGGAATTTCCAAACAAGATGCAAAGTTGTTGTTGCGTGTAATTCACAATGCAAAATATTTAAACGAGTAAACGAATAGGTAGAAAAATTGGTTTAATACATGAAAAAGTAAAAAAAAAAAAGTGATTTAATCTCAAATTTGTGTCAAAATCATGACATACTGACACACAACAATTAATGTACTATTTTATTTGACTATGTATGCTTATTACCATCACCTGTCCATCTTAAAATTGTTACGCATTATAAGCTAACGACACTGAACAAAAATGACTTATATATCACAGTTTGCTGTTTGTAATAAATGAAAACGAAATGCTTGTTACTATTTTTCAATTTCAATCAAAATGAAATATTGGAAGCAAAAGCATATATTAACAGTCTGTTACATTGTTTCAAAGTATCAAGTTTAGGTAGGATCTCAGTTTTGGTGGTGAAAAATTGAAAAATTGCACATATCGTTTATAAAATTGGATCATTTATAATAAAGCGTTTTATTTAACCAGAAAAAAAAATCTAGCAAAAGTACATGTTTGCCTCTATTTTCCTTTTTTTTTTTCCTTTCATTTGTTAAATCATTCAATGACTTGCACTCACTGTAGTAGTGCTCGTTTATATTTTTTCAGTTGCATAAATTTGCAAATTATCATTTCAAACGTAATTCAGGAATGAAAAAAGTTCAAAAATTATGAATGCAAAATGAAATGATAATATTAATAATAAATTCATGTAATTTTACTGATCTTTTACATAGATTGCAATCATATTCTAAAACAAGTTAAGATTATTGCGTTGTTCATGTAAAATTGTCTACCATTGCGTATTATCATATGTAATATTAAATTAATAGTCCACTCTCACACATTCTTCAGTTCTTTAAGGGAGCAGTTTAAAAATTTTTGTAATAAAATGGAAGCACAGAAATTTGTACAAATATCGCCGGCAGACAACGATCATAAATAGAACAAGTAACTGCTTATGTGTAACTATTTTTCAGAAACCTTTGACACTAATAATGAAAAATACTGAAATTTCAGAATTTCCATAAATATTAATCTATTTGCAGATTTTGGTTAACTGAATGCCTGCTTTATTTTAAGAATTTTTCATTTCAAGAATAATTGGGCGAAAAAAAAAAATTATCTGCATCAGTTGCTACTCCCACATTTTGATTTGATCAGTTATTTCACTGCATATCATTATTGACCTTAGACATCAATACCACTAATGTGTGCTAACTGGAACATCTAGAACTTTCTAATTGATGAAATTACATCTCGAAATTTTTGGAAGAAAAAGTACCCTTTTAAAGGAGACAGGTAAAAAACATTAAAAATCACCTAAAAATTAGTAAATTTCCCGAGAAATTTGAAAACTATCACTTTGTTAGGTAAGTCCGAAATTTCAAACCTTACCAATTTTAAGTTACAGTGATGTAGGCAATTTTTAGAAAATTTCACTTTGTCAAACCTGACCATGGAAAGGTCCCGAAACTATTTCTACCTTATCAATGCCCATTAGTAAATGCTGTTTTTTTTTCTCAAAATAATTCAAAATCGAATTTTTTTCCTTCATCGAGTTGTTCAAAAACCTTTGGCAATAAAACAGAATCAGCTGTTCAATCCTTTTGGCTGCGAAACTCGACCCTGAAATATAATCCATCTGAAATGGTACTATACATATGTTTTTATAAGAGCAGCACTGATATACAAGGAAAAGTCGAGAAAAGCGCATCACAGGATATGATCCAAATACAGATAATTTTAGAGAAATTACGAAATATACATTATGATTATTTCCATAGCAACAAAACTTTTATCCAAAATGAAAAAATGAAATTTACAAAGTCCAATTTCTGATCCAAAATGATAAAAATGTAGTCACTTGCAACACATCCCCTTGAAATTAAATGCCGGAAAGCACTCAATTTTTTTTACAAATAATAGGTTTGCATCATGCACTTGCAGTATGGTGTTCACCTGTGATTGATTTATCTGTTCGTGATATTACGCGGTACACGGTCACTATACGACAGCAAATGCAACGAATGTAGAAATATAAAATAAGTACATTTCATTTATTTTTTGTCTATTTTATGTCGTTTCATACTTGTCTTTCACTCAACTTTTGACACCATTTCCAGCTCATTTACACACTGCCAAATGGCCACATCATAGTTCTTCAAAAGAAGACAAACGATTAATAAAATAATCCCAATTATCAATAACATCATTAAATGGAATAATTTGATAATTGACATTAAGCATCTCGCATAAAAAGTTTACGTACATATGATTACTTCCAACATAGTAATTGGAAAAGTATTGCATTATACCTATATGACCAGAAAAGGCGCAAATGTGTATGTATGTGTCGTGTGTGTCCGTGTGTTCTGTTGATAAGCAAATAAGAAAATGTATCATCTAATATGGGGGACAAATAAGAGCAAAGAAAATACTGAACTGTTAATTTATTTGTATGATAACTAAATGATAACATAGTTAACGACTATATGATAACAAATGCTGATAACTTGCTTGCATGCTGGTCGCATATGATTGTTCCTAACGTGATACAAAAGTAATATGCAACGGTCACATGAAATAAATGATATCAATGAAAGCTCAATATATTTGTTACGTATATATATATGTATTCCTATACTTTCTAAAAGATATATGTACACGTACGTGTATACCTTCTAAGTAGTAATATACAACCACTATTTGTGTCTCAAACAAACTAGTATACGACAATACGAGATATTGATTTTACAAAGATAAATCGTGGAAAAGCAACGAAAGAAACCCATAAAAGAGTATGACTGATAGAGAGGGCTAGAGAGGAGGGAGGGGCAAGAAGCGCGAGCGACGAGGCCTGCGTGCTGCGGCTGGGAGAGGAAGATGGTGGGAAGATGGGGGAGGGAACGTTCTTTGTTATTCTGCGAATGCTTACTGATCCGTCGGGGATATCCCATTTTCTCGGGACTTTATATTTTTTTTTTTTATTTTATTTTTTTATGTTCGGATTTTATTCAGGGGAAAAGCAGAGAAGAGGGACAAGCGGGGAGTGGAGAGAGAGAGAGAGAAAGAGAGAGGGAGGGAAAGAGAGATTTATTTATTTGAACAATAACATTGTGACGTTAATCATTAAATTGTTGTATGGATAGAAATAGTCAATAATTTGACCAAAAAAAAAATTAGACATTGGATTTGTTGGTTAAATATTTGAATATGAATATGTTTTCTCTGTAAATAACAATAATTTGTTCGTTTATCTTTTCGCTTTTTGACAAATTTTAGGTTTTTCGTTTTTTTTTTTTTTTTTTTTTTTTTCTTTAGCCTTTTGTTATCAGTTAAATCATCTTGCTTGTTTATTGTATGTTAGTATTACTGTTCGTAGTAATAAATTGTTTAATGAATAGTTTACATTTTTTCAGAACAAAAATAGATGCATTTTCATCGTCCTTTTTTTCTTATTTTTATAGATTTGTTCAGATAATGATATTAATTAGTTTAGAATTAAGAGAGGATTCTGATCTGTTTAAAGTCACAGAATGGCTAGCAAAAGTAGAAAAAAAGCGGCAGCAAGAATTAACTTCATTTTGATTTTCATTGGACACTAATCAGATAATCGATATAGTTGTCTTAATTAATTTAATTAATATAATTGTATGTTTAAATGATTTCCAGTAATTCCGAGCCTTTTTCGAGTATATTCTTAAATTATTCATTGGTCATTAGTACTCATTAGATTTTGCTAGACTGACATCATATTTATTGCTTAAAGCTTTTTCCTTTGTTCGAATGTCTTTCATCCAGTATAACTTAATAATTATTGGGGTATTTAAAATTTTCCAACTTTTATTTCTGTTCTTTGCAATTTCCATCACTTTTGTCCTTTGAGGGGTCACATGTCTCACCTTTCATTAGCAGTCTTCTGTCCAATTTCAAAAATTTATTTAGCAACTTCATTCAAGATACCTAAAACTGTCAGTTGAAATAATAGCATCCTTAACAAGGTCATGAATTTGTCGCTCATTTTTTTTGTGTTTTTTACAATCTTTTCTACCTGTTGATGGCCTATGTTTTACCTAGATTTTAGAATAAATGAGATTTTTTGCAGGAAAATTTGCAGAATCACACATCCAAGAAATTCTCAGCTCTCGTATTCATAGCTTTTTTGTTGTATCGACTTCGCTTTTCTTTTTAAATCGGTTTTAACGATGGAACTTAAATTTAGGTAGAGATGTAAAATTTGTGTAAATTTGTGTTTTCCTTTAAAAAAATGAGCTTATAATGCATATATTTGGGCATATTGTCATTTTTGTCAAATTTTTGAAATGATCATTAATAATAATGAGCTCACAAAATTCAGTAGCTGTAACAGTTACAAAATATATATCAGTAACTACAGTTTCAAAAAACTTACTTTTTAGTTTCCTGTTGTTTTTGCATTTTTTTTTTTTCTATAATGAATTTCCTTTATTTGGTACAAGCTTTTGTAACTGGAAGAATTACAGATAAAGTGAATATGATTCTGGGAAACATTCAAATTTCACTGAACTTATAAAAAGCCTATTGTATTATTGTGTTTAAATGCTAAGGCTAAGGAAGAAAGTGGATAAATATGAATGAGTAAAACTTGCGTGTTTCAGAATTTCGTAAACGGGTGTTGTTAATTGTTGTATAAGTGTTCCCGGATATGTTGGGGTTATTTTCCGGGTGTTTGAAGAGGTGTGCATGAATGGAACAGCAGAATACATCTTCTCACCCGCTTTTACCTCCTGGATTTACCAATCCATCATTTGCATCCACTTTTTCAGGTGTGACTTTTTCTACGTATAAAATAGATCGATCATACGTTTTTGTGGGTTACTTGTGACCTAGATTTGAATAGACGTTTCTAGTATCATATCTTCTAGTTTGTCAGTCTCTTCCTTCTTAAGTGTTTAGTATCTATCCTTCTAAGTATAGCATATATCAGTAAGTGTAAAAGTAAGTGCTGTTACTCGAGCTTATTTACCGTGAAAATACAATGCGATACATTTTTAAGCAATAGAACAAGCACTTATTACTTCTTTAATTTCGAAGGAATAAAGTATACAAACATTATTAATGAAATATTAGGATTAAGAAATTCACGAATAACGTTTTTTTTTTTTTTTTTTTTTTTTTTTTTTTTTTTTTCGTTTAACTTACTAACTCGTTAGTTTTTTTTTTTGTTTAAGAATCGATACCTACTACAGAATGGTAAAGTTGATTTTCATTTGTTTATAGAAAAATGAACATCTAATTAATTGTTGAAGCAAGTAAACCATTACTTTCTACACCCTTGTTGTCCAGGTATAGCACCAGCCGCTGGAAATGTTAGTAATCCGTTGCTGGCTTCAACACTTCATCATCTCCAAGAATTTTCGGCAGCTCAAGGTGCTGCTGGCTTATTACCAAACAGTTCGCAGTTAACTCTGGGTAGTCAGTTTGCAGCCGAATTGAATAATATTGCAGCAGTTAGCTGGCCTGCTGCCCCAAATGCGAATACTGCTTGGCTTGAACAGGTTTTGCGCCATTTTATCCTCCTTTATTTTTGCACATTCCATCAGTTTCACTATTAGATACGACATTAAATATGTTTCACTCCTGGTTGAATCATTTTCTTTTTGAAATTCAATTTTTATTTTGAATCATGAAGTTGAAATTTACACATTCATTCTTACAAATTTCTGAAGAAGTTTTGATCCCCTTCAAAAATATTTACTTTTTTTCGATAGATTCTACGATTTTCTAGGCTAAAGTTGCTGCCATTTTGCCAATGTATACAGTTTTCTCCGCCGGACCTTTAAAAACAAAGCAAGTTTTATCTTTTTATGAGGATGTATATGATACATATAAAGGTTTATGTCAAGGCTACAATCTTTGACGCTTTTTTTTGGACTTAGCAGCAGTAATTTTCTTTTCCACAACTACATGAAGATTACAGTGAGATTCTAATTGTAGTGGATATTCGAGTTATCTAGAAACGGCTCGTGGATATTTTGTGCATTTATCAGAAGAAAATTGACTGTGCTAATTGCTATGAAACAATGTTTCTTATTTGCTGCATATAAAATTTGGATATTTCAGCGATGCAACAAATCTCAATCCAGGTGAAATTGAGCTCACAGTTCAGAACAGTATTGCAGCCAGCAGCGCTCTTATCTCATCTTCTGCTATGCCGGTTAATGCAGGTATTTTAGATATTGCTTGATTTAGATTTTGGTTGTTTTTCATGTTAATTCAGTTTAAAATTTGGCCACATCTAGAACCAAATTTTTAACTGAGTGAAATAAATTGATTTAAAATTCCAAAGTTCCAGTATTTTACTGTAGGTAGACATATTTACAAAAACCTTATTATTTCAGATGTTTTTCCTTGTAAAGTGGAGAATAGTAATGTGCATAACCTAAGCTCACAACCCTCAACCCCGCAACAACGAAGTCAACAACCGAATACCGCTATGGGTTCAACACAGTCTTCTCCTGCCAGTGCAATGCTTGTAATTGACAGACAACCAGGTTCCATCCAAAGCCATTGCTCAAATGAAATGAGACCTTGTTCGACGTCTTCCATGGGTCCATCTTCCGTTCCCAACCATTCAAGCGTTGGTTCAATTGATCATTTGCCGGGCTCTGTAGGGAGAGCACCAGTGCCGGAAACCGTCAATACCATACGACCGTGTTCACAGCAAAGTAGCTCCAATTACGTCATGTCGCGCGGAAACGACTCATCCAACGCTCATTCTCCTGTGCAGGTATTTGCTTTATTGATTGTTTAAAAGTGGCGAGAAAATTTGCATACTGATTTAGTTTCTTGTTGATTATTTAAATGGGCATTAGAATTTGTACATTATGCTATTTACTTTACAGATCGCTGCCATGTCGGTCGGTTCACGTAATTCAGCTGCACAACAAAAACCTTTCGATCAAGACGTTGCAAATCGTCCTACAGAATTGCGTACTGTATCTTCTAACGTACGAAATGCCACTCCAGTTGGAACTTCAGAAGTTAGCCAAAACTCTTCATCTACAGTTCAACAAACATCGGTAAGTAATTGAGTGAAAAGGCTAAGAGTTATCGCATCATTTTCATACATTCTCATTGATAAAATTTCAAGGTATCTCAAGTTTTCGAGTACTGCACTTATGTTTTGTAGGGCACACCTCATGAAAACGGAGCAGACAATAATAATTTGGAAGACTTGCCATGGTCCAGTATAGATCTGGCTGACATTGACTTGTTTAGCGGATCATCTGTCGCTGAAAAAGATGTCATGCACTCCGTTCTGGATGAAATGGATCCTACTGTGATGCATCGACTTTTGCTAAATGAACCATCCACAGGTTCTAGTGCAACTAAACTGCCTGTAAAGTAAGTTTTAAGGATTTTCGTCAATTAATATTTGATGATCTATAAGCTATTCCACAATCACATAGCGGAAAATCATGGCATTTGGAATATTAAAAATATTTGACATTATGTAAGCAGATGAAGTATGACGCTATCATTTATACTTTTGCCGGACAGTATATTCTGCCTGTAGCGGGAATGTAAATAAGAGTAAGGCGAGAAAAAGAAGCTGATCGATTCAAAAAATGAGTTGGGTGGGCTTCTTATATAGTCGCAATCAGAAAAGTCTGCAGAAAGTGAGTTATTTTTGACAGCTATTGAAATAGAATTTAATTTCAGATTTCGAAAAATTTTTTTCAGTGTCTCGCAACTTGTAACACCGAAAATTCGAGAAAAGATTAAACTGAAAAGAGAAAAAGAATTAGCTGATGCAGATAAAGAGTTGGACAGACTTCTTTCACTTGTTGCCAAAAAAGACGCTATATCGACACCTATGTCTAAGGTTCTAAAGCCGCTTCAGATTCTTGACCCAGTATTGATGATGAAATCAGATACTTCTGATGACCACAAAATCAGTTTGAGCCCTGTCCAAGTAAGGTTTTTTGTTAGTATCAAATCAAAGTTATTTTGAAATTCTGCAATTATATAAAATTCTGATGAGTTAAAAAGTTTGTGGTAGTTGTTGTGATGTAAGCATCAGAAAAAATTTTTTTAAAATTGTTTAGTGCTTTTGTTTCATATCTTCTCAGTATTTTATTTGCAGTTCACGCCTCCAGATTCACCCACAGCATCCACGTCAGGCGGTGTTTCATCATCATTATGCAATTTCTTCTTTCCCTCATCCAACACTTCCACTAATACTGCCGCTACCCGTCCCCGATCCACACGTAACGATGTTCCTTCAGAAAAAACACGTTTCCTATTCATGCCAGCAACGGAAAAGAAAAACAAATCGAACAAAGTCCCAGTATATAAGCAGAAAGCAAAAACATTCTTGCAGCCTGTGCACAAGACTGAGGAACACGGTAAACCTATTTATAATTTTGTTTTAACAAGTTTTTGTTGAATGATTTTATAAGGTTATTTTAAAATCACCCCTTTCTATAGCGAAAGCAATACAATGGAAGTCTGTTTAAATTTAGTGACAAAATTAAAAAATTATTTTGCTTTTAAGTATAAATCAACCATCAAGATACTAAACTGTGACTTACAATCAGACTGTTAAGTTCAAGGTTATTACTCACTTTGGAATTGGTTGTGATCTATGAACCTTATTTTTGAAGCAATGTTTGGTAATAACGCAGGATTGTAAAGTAGAATTTTTTGTTTCAGACTTCAAATTAATTGCCATTTCTCCGTTTTCAAAGCGCCTCTGAAACTGAAGCCTACATAGAGAGCTTTTAGGAATTTGGCATGGAAACCTTCACTGCAGTTTTGATTTGAAACAGATGATTGCAAAAATCTTAAAGAAAGCTACATATATGGGAGAATTCTTTCATCCCTCAAATATTGGCTTTTCATATTTTACAAGCAATGATTGTAGCTTCAGATGACGCATACAATTTCAAGGATGATGAGGAGGAAAGTAAACCATTACCATCCGGTGCAACCGTATCTGAGACCCAGCTGCGAGAGCAAAGACTAGAGGCAGAAGTTGCACAGAGACTCGCACGAATAAACAGTGCCCATCCAGAGCTTAAAACAAAAACTGGAAACGATGAACCACAATATCAGCAGGTAATATTTATACAGATAGTTTATTGAAATCTTATAGTTTCTCATTATTATAATTCTGTACAGTACGAGTTTCGGAAGGAGAGATGGATTTCCGTTATTCAGGATTGTATATCCCATCGGCGAATTTCAGGATTTATGGAGACACGTTGTACCAAAAAAACGTCATTCAGCCGCATCAGAAAGACCGTCTGTGCCTTCGACTCCTTTATTGCCACCTGCTGCTGTCAATGAACATCGCGCAGAAAATTCGTCAAGTAAGCTTTTTTCTTGTTCTTGGTAATTGTGGTAAAAATTTTCAAGGCTTTTCATTCTTGATTTTATAGGTCAGAAAGTAGCGGAACCTCAAACAATAGTCGACTTGTTGTTGCGCCGTAAACAACATCGCTCATCATTTGGTTTCTTAAAGACGAAATCCCTTGGCGATAAAGAAACTGCCAAAAATGAGCAACAAATAGGACCATCAGTGATTACGATTAAGATGGAACCGAAAACCGGTTGTGATGCCGAAAATGGGTCCGTTTTTTCAGATATATTTTAATAGGAAGTAAAGTTCAACTCAAATCAAGATATAAATAATTCTGTGTTGTTCTTAATTGTTATTATTTTTAAAGCATTTGAAGCTAAGGATCTCTTTATTGTTACTTTCAACATCATAGCCTTCTTCCATACTAATGACTAAGCTTTCGTTTTTTCTTCATTTTCCTTCCTTTCTCTTTTCAGTTTATTCTTTCCACTCCTTCACTATGTTGTCTTTTAGGAGGCATTTTAATTAGTTATAATATTGCATACTGACTTGTGGCATGATTTATTATACCTTTGAACTCATTAATTTTTTCTAGTGCTCAGTCGGAGCAACCTCTTCCGAAGTTACTGATCAGATTGCCCCGAAGATCATTCGATGAGAATATGGTAGAATATGAGAAACCAAAGAAGAAGAAAAAGAAGAAAAAGAAAAGAGACAGTGACTATGAATGGGTAGGCCCTGACTCAAAAGGCAAAAGGAAGAAAAAACATAAACATAAGCATCACCACAAAAAAAAGAAAAGGCATGCATCAGAGTAAGTTGAAGTATTTTATTATTGACATATTTTGGTGGTTTATTTACATAGATAAGAGTTTTATGATGAATTAATTACGGCGTTTACTTAAAGCATACAAACTAGCCTCTCATAGGAATGTTTTACGCGTAGACAGATTGCCAAAATAATGATTGTCGAAATATTCATTCATGGGGATTCATTTTTCGGAGTGGTTGTCTTTCAGTTGTTTGCATTTTATATAATATTGGTTTTTCAAGCTTCGAAGAAGAACTTATGAACAAGCAGAGTGAGCAGTGGAGCACATCTGAGAGTATAAACAAAGAAGCGACCGTTTTTAGTAAGAAAAGACGCCTCATAATGCATTGGAATGAAAGAGAGGGAAGTCGTGTAGATTCAGGTTTGTTATATTTCATATTGCTTTTAATATCATTCCTGAATGTGTTTTGATAATTGTATCATTATTACAGAGTATTGCCGTGACCGAAACTCTTCTTTGCCATTGGGGAATAATAAAGGACACCACAATACGCATCCGGAATCCTCAGAGCACAGCGTTTTATCGAAGTTTCATCCAGTAGATGGACATTTAGCGGTGGGCAGTCTTTTTTCATACATTGTTATTTATATCATTTAAATTTGAGCTTCATATTGTCAATTGATCTGATTGTACTTCAAGATGGCCTATATATTAGTGGTTTTTGCCGACGCAAATTTGTTTTAGTGTTAAACAGATTTGTATTAAATTTCATTTAGTTAATCCCATTTTTTCCAGAAAGGGACATTCGTAGTCTGCAAAGCTGATATCTTGAAAGAAGACTGTCCTCTCTGGAGAGTTGATAATCAGAACTTGCTACAGAAGTATCCGCCTTTCAGGCTTGATGGCAAAATAACTTACAGGAACAGCTCTACGGTTTGCAAACTTTTGAAAATTTTTTGTTTGCTCAAACGACAACTGTTTTTTTTTTTTTATTGTTGCATGACTAGTGTTACCTTAAAGTTCGCAAAAAATCTTTCCTGTAATTTTGAAAGATTTGTTTTCAAGATTGATAATGCTGTATAACCGAGAAATTTGTTCCAGTATTCCGGTTGGTGTGATCAAATCGCTGACAGTTATATTGTTGTGCGAGTGCGTTTCATCAAACACAGTCGTTCGGAGTCCATAGTCGAGCCAGAAATGCCGTTATTAGATATGTTTCCAGCAATAAGCATTGAATATGAAGAGCGACCATCTGGTAATTTTTCACTTATTAAGCAATTTAATATTCATAATATTGTTATTCTGTATGTTTCCTGGTAGTCACACCACATCGTATATTACCGTGTCCTATCTACCAAAGTCTGTCTCCAAACCTTTTGATTTACTTGAAATTAGGTATGCAAAACTTCACACATGCATAGTCGGAGCCAGTCACTTTCACTTTCATGGGTAAAAATTTATGCTGTTTATAGTTTGACATTATTTTTTCCCGTTCTCTAATATTACCTTTCTGTTCATTATTAATTAAATGCGGAAGTGGTTGCTTATTTCAGTAGTTTTAAACATAAATACCATTTCTTCAATAAATTATAAGAATTATTTTAGCCAACTCAAGTATCGCATCAGAACAGAAAGATCTCTTCACAGATGATCCAATCCGAAAGCAAATGTCTGTATATGTAAAAGCGATGCTTAATCATGCGCTTGATATGACATTCCTCCAGACAGTAAGGCAAAAGAACGGTTAGGAGATTTTTATATGTGTTATTCAACATAACTCACTTGACAAATGCATTATTGTTTGTGATAAATGAATAGATAGCAGTAGATGAGATACTAGAGTTGTATTAAGATTCTGTTAATGCAAAAGAAAGAGATTTAGATCAAAATTACGCCGAAGCATGATTGGTTTTATGCCAATTGAATTTGAATTTTCATAATTCGTTTTTCTGTTAATTTTGAGGTTTTTCTATTAATTCTTCCGGAGACGGTGTTGCTATTGGCAGCAAATATTACCAGTTAATATATCAATTTATTGTTTTACTTTCACTATATCCAATTACAGATTGGAATTATTTATGTGCTTTAAATGGTATCGATAAATTAAACCAAGAAAGAAAAGAGAAAGTACAGCTACGAGTGAAATGGATTCAGCGATACTTGGATTTGCTGCATTTTTATTCGTCATGTGTGGTATGCGATTCAGAGGGCAGTGGCTTAAGTTGTCAGGTATTCCTACTTCATTTTTTTTTTCCACTTCTTTTGGCTTTATAGAAGTCAGCCGTATATACTGCAGTTTTTTGCATTTGCGAATCTTCAATGTTACATATTATTCTGATCAACTGAATAAAATTTTAAGAGTAAATCTATGTTTAAGAACTTCAGAACATTGTGAATTTAAAATTAATATGCGCTTTAAAAAGTTTGCACATTGCTACGAAACTTTTTATATTTAGGAAAAACTCTTTAAGATAAATCTTCAATCAGTCTCAAATAGCTGTTTTAGGCTTGTGGCATTTCTGGTGTTGAGAAAGTTGTGCAGTTGTTTTGTAATGAAGGTTACGATTATGATACTCTGGAAGCTGAAGAAGTCTGTTATACAGGGTCTGGATCTCCACTGCATGCGGTGGTAAGAGTTTAATTACAGCTTCTCTCATCATTCTCTGGAACACGATCGATCTTGGATGTTTGCTTTATAACCGTTATCTTTATATTGTAATTTTAATAGTATTTTAAGCTTTCTTTAGGAATATTTGGTTTGTTGGTCTTGTGCGAAGTTGTCGAGAATTTACCACAAATTGCATCATATGCGGTATATGCTGTTAAAGAACTGCGAAGATAAGGTCAGAATATAAAACAATAGCACTGCTTGTCGATGATTATGCGCAGTTCATGTCCTGCATATATGCTCATCATTGTTTTTTACAGCTAGAGAAAGTTAGTGCTGGAAACAGGGATATTTCATCAGAGTTCATAGTGGAGACCTGTATGAACGATATAGTATGGCTACGTTCAGTAAGTCATTCAAGTTTTTTTTTTTATTACCACAACTTGTTTGTTGATAGGTGGTAAGTGATCTCTCTCTCTCTGTCTTTCTCCCTATTTGTTTTTCGTTTTCAGGTTGTCAATGAATATGCTGATCTTTGGAGAAGGATTGAGATGAATACTTGTTGATATTTTCTTAGAGTTTAAAAAGGCTTGTTCAATTCTTCTTTCCAAAAGATAACTTTGTGAATCTTTGAGCAAAGGATGGGAACTGCAGAGTTCCAGGAAGCTTTAAATAGATGAGGATTTCATTAAAGCTTTTATAATAGAAGTTAACTTTCTATGGAATTATTAGAGTTATGTTTCGTCTTGGAGTTGTGTTGATCGTAATATTAGTTACTGAGTAGAGCGCAGATTTATAAACACTTATTTCTACCTCCATCCTCCTTGTCCTCCGATCCGTTATTTTTCTCTGCCTTCCTCTTCTTACCTCCTCCTTTCTAGGTTTATTTGGGACAGTTTTACAAGTCTTTCGATGTAGTTGTTACTGCAGTGTTAATAACTGTAGGAAATAGGAACCAATCGGTCCAATGCGTACCACTCAATAAGGTTAATAACTATGCTAAATTATTGTAGAGGGTGATGATTTGAGGTTTAAGTTTCTTGTTTTCAATTTAAGGAAATATGGAATTTGTTGTAATATATTTATAAAGCAAGGAGGAGAAGTAGATATTATGCCGTGATGCACTCTCATATTTGCATCTGAGTAATTTAGATGAAAGTTCTGTGCGTGTGCGTATGGTGCGTGTATTTGTAAGTTATGTTTTCCTCTATGTTACTGCAAATTGTCTATCAGTAGGTGGTAGTAGTTGAGAATGATCGAAACTGTCCGTAGTTTTAAAAGATCAAGCGATAAGCAGAGAAAGTATGAAATATTTTAAACAATTTTAATTTACAGGGAAAAAAATCCACTTCTGATTTTGTTGCATTTAAATTAAGATGTGCTTGCTGAAAGAAGGTAACTAGTGCTAGAGTTTAAAATATTGAAAATGATAGAAAAAAAATTTTTTAAGACTTTTCGTTTGGAAATCTCGAAGATGTTTTTACTTGCTTTTTGTATATTTGTAACATATCAGTTTACCCAAGCACTCATTGGCTTGATATGTAAATAAGTGCAAATCCGTGAAATGACATTTTTTGCTACTGTATTCTCCCTTGTATTCATGACAACTTGTAGTTTTAGTTGGAGCTAAATGGTTTTGAATTGTCGATTGCTCTGTCATTTAATCTCAGGTGTGCTCCTTCGGTGATTTTCTTTTATTTTTGTGTTTTATTCATAACTTAATTTCCAAAACTTTCACTTGTGTTACTACTTACCGTCACATCAGTGGTAGGCTGGGATGGTTCAATTCGGTATGCGACACTGAACAATCTTTCAAATTTCCCTTGGAAATTACAATGATTTTTGAAAGTTCTGGCCTCAATTCTGTTAGGACGGTAAAGTTATTTGATTAATCAGATATCGAAGGGGTTACGAAATGATCTCATCAAGAAGGTAGTGTGATGTTTTATGTAACCGTTATTCATAAAGATTTTCAATTCAAACTGGATCACAGCAAATTTCCATTATGAAGATTACCATCACTTTTAAGTGTAGTTAAAAGGAGTAGGAAGTAAATGTTGTGTTTTTGCGGGAAGATAAAAACACAACGATTAATATTAATTAAACCATTTTAAGAGGCGATGAACTTTTGTTCTTCTTTTGTTTCTTTCGTAAAATTTGTAATCGAGGTTGTTTTGTTTTTTTTTTTTTTTTTTTTTAATTTTTTAATACTAAAAAGCAATGAGATGAAACAATACAAGCTAAAAGGATGACTGGATTGACTAAATTTAGCAGTAAGTTTTGAATGTGGATTCCTAAAGTCATTATAGGTGACCGTTAATATTCAAAGTAATTCTTAAACAGTTGCTTCAAATTGTTAGTGAGACGGAACGTGAAACACTACCAAATTTTCAAACTGAATTAAAAAACAATTCATTTTTTATGATTGGAATGTATACTCCTAGTAAGTAATCGAGTCAAGATAACGAAAGATATTTCAAGTTAAGAATAACAAGGTAATAAAGTGGTAAAACAAGGTAATAATATAGCCTCCAGATAAGTGAAATCGTAGTTAAGTAGGCACTATTTCGATATAGTAACGACAACAAATCGCTGGAATACTCATAACTGATCTCTGGGGTCAAAATTTTTGCTACTATAAACAATTTTAATATCAAGCATTATTGATGGTATATAATATAGCATCGAAATGATATCACAGCAGAAGGGTCTCAGCGGTATTGCGAGTATATGTTATCCTAAAAATCTTTTAAACAGGTTTTGGGTAATTTACAAAAACAAATTATAAAATACGGATCCAGAATTTCATACTGGTTGTAAACGTAATCATTTTCCACAATACACTTCACATCTCGCTCAATAATCAACAACAATCGCAATACATGTTTTCGTAAAACATCGTGGCCATAATCATGTACAGCGAAAAATGTTTAAAATCATATTATATAATGTTTTTTTTTTTTTTTTTTTTTTTTTTTTTTAGTAGATTTTACATCACATTTCAATCGTTTGAGAGAATCCGGTACATCATGGCTTATTTCATATGGTATTTTATATGGCATTTCAATTGTTCGAGTGAATATACATATTTCATATTAAATAGTACATGGTATACGTTAGATTTCACATAATATTTCAACCGTTTGTAAAAATTGCAGTATACCATGCTTTCTTTTTTTGCATTACATTTTACATCACATTAGTTTGTGAGAATCTCAATGTATCATGATTGTATTATATCAGGTTTCACATAATATTTTTAATCGCGACTCTCTTAAACAATTGAAATGTCTTGTAAAATTTATTATAAAATGGTCATGATAGTAAAATTCACTATAAAATAGTCACGATGCATTAGGATTGTATGTCATCATGTTTTATATTGATTTTCCCATATTTTTTTTTTTTTTTGTTTAAGATAGTCGCGGTGCATCATGATTTTTTTTTTTTTTACATTACATTTTATATGACATTTAATCCCGGGATACCATGAAGGCTTTATAATAATTCTAATATGAAATTTCAATCTCGGTGTATCGTAAATATATAGAAAGAGGAGTTTAGAATGAGGAGCAGAACACAACTATTTTTTTTTGATATTTCAAAATAGACCGGTTCTAGAAATTAGAGTTCATAGGAACATATAAGAATAGCCTAAGTTAAATGATGACGAACAAGTGTTAGAAAGATTCAATGAAAACATCGCTACGCTAAAACCAATGGGAGATCAGTTATGGAAAGAATCAAGAATTAAGTTAAATGATAACTTTGGTTTGTGTTTTGGTTGCTTAAATTCCTTGATTAAACTACTTCAGAATAAAGCACACTTACTTCTCAAGTACGGTGAAATCAGTTTTACGATTAGTTACAATGCTAACATCACCGAAAGAGTATGTGCAGAAATGGATCAGGTAAGTGTCATTATCTCCCTCATCATGAAATTATAACTTCAGGTAAAACTACAATCTAACTTCAAATTGTTTGTGATGCGTCATCACATTCAAAGGGATTGAAGAGTTTGAGTGTTCTCAGTCTAAGTATGATACAATTTAAATTTTTTCAAAATTTATGGGAGAAAAATAACGCTTGGAATTAATTTATAAGTAAAGAGGATAAAGAACGTGGAAATCTCTAATAAATGAATGGCCAACAAATACGACGACTTGTAAAACACACTTCAAAGCAAATGTAAGTTCATGTCATCACAGATACATTTAACGCATCAAGTGTGATATATTCTGCATTTCAAAGAATTAAAATGTCCTTGAAACTCACTAAATCCCGAATTACACCAAGTAAAGATATCACTATATCCCGATTGGAGTTATTAGCAGTATTTGTTGGAGAATGAGCAGCTCATTTTGTAATAAATCGGTTGGAACTTGAAAATGCGTTGATAACTTTATGATCTAATTTTAAGTGTGCAGTACACTGGATCGCTGTTTCCGACCACTAACAAATTTTGCAGAAAATCGAGAAGAAATAAGAAAAGCAAAATTCTTTTTTCATTACATTCCAAGCATGTATAATTCAGTTGATATTGCAAAAAAAAAGGGGATTTTCTCCAACAAAATTTGGAAATTATGAAGTATGGTGAAAAGGACCGGACTATCATGGCTGGAAAAGGAGGAAACCAACTTGTCACATGGGAATATAACTTCGATGGTGATTTTTGAAGTGAAGAAGAAAGTGACTCTAATAGCAAAGGTCACATAGGAAATTATAAAAAGTTTTAAACTTACAGATGCGTTATTCAGTGTTAAAATAAGGACTATTGCATGATGAACTCTTAAATTCATAAAATTACAGCACGAAGACAAATACCATAGTTACAATCTTATCAACGATAAACGATCAACTTGCAACATTGATTGCACTGATTGCAAATTAGCAATGAAGGTAGGTAAACGCAATCAGAATGAATAACTGAAGAAATAAATAAATGGAATCCATAGAACGATAAATAAAATTGCTAGTGGAAATCCAAAAGTCGATTGAAAATTCCGAATTGAATGAAGGCAGTTTACATATAATTTACTTATTTTCCATGACATAATCCCATATCTGTACTTTTCACACAACGGCAGCACACGGAATTGTTCATACATTTTCAAAATTGAGAACAGAATTCTAGATACCAAAAGATAGAATGCATGTTTTGTAAAAGATAGAATACAAAACTCGGTCATGCTTAAATTTTCAGAAGCTCGAATCGTGCACTCTCGAACATTTACATACGTTGGATTGGATTGTATGGATTCCCTTTTATTAAAACTGATATCGGCATAGTTAAAAGATGGGGTAACTCTCTTCACATGCTTCACAACAAGAGCAATGCATTTCGAGCCGGTAGAAGGTTTATCTTCTGAAAGTTCTCTAAAACACATATCTAAAATACATATTAAGCAGATTCATTGCCCGGTGAGATTATCCTAAATTAGCTTTAAGTGATAATGCTAGCCAATTGCAACTATTTTTCTAGGCCATTACGAAACGAAATACACAATAAACAAACTTCCTGGCAAATAAAGAATGATCTAGAAGAATATCATACTAAGAGCCCTACGGAGTAGAGGGATTACAAGAGAATAACTAGGATAATCAAGTGGGCAATGAAAAGAGTAGAGACATTGGCAGGAAGTTATTATGGGAAAGGGAAGAAGGGAATTAACAATACTAATAGTAGAAATAGAAAGTATATTAAATATCCGGCCACTGACTTCCGTAAATTTTGAAGATTGCGTAATCATACGGCCAATTGGTTTCATCTCGCATAATGCTTCATTCGTACCTTATGAAACCTTCATGGTAACGACAGTGATCAGGAAGAATTTTCTCCCCAGAAATTATAAAAAAAAAGCTTAACAAGTATTGGTCAAACACCTTCAAGACCCAAAAGAGATGGAAAAGTAAGAAATGAGAATTTAACCAGCCTTCAAGAACGAACCAAAGCAGAACACTCTTTTTTACAAGAACACTTCATAAAGAGGAAATTGTATAAGTCAGCGAACCAGAAGTTGCCCAATGTATATGGAAATTAAAAAAGGAAGAGACGGAGAAGTAAGAAATGCCTCAATAGGATTACCACATGAAAGACTCCTAAACTCATCAGTGAATACACTGTACATCCTGGAAGTCGACGATGAAGAAAATTCAACAATTCAACTAATCAATTTGGGAAATCAATCAGCAAGAAGAATCTGTCGCTCTACCAACTAAAATTATGAACTCAAACTAATGCATCTCTTGAAGATTTTTGTCTCCTTTTGTTGGGAATATCCAAAGAACCGAATTATAATATGTAGAATAAAACTGTGTTAAATTCACAGAACTAAGGATTATCTTTGAACATTCGTTAGACAAATTTTAATTCCATATAAGAAATCGTTTAGCCAATATTCATCTTTCATATAGCTAAGCTTATTTGCATTGTGACAGTTTTGTTAACAAAATATATATGTTGGAATTTGTCCAATCAGACTATTTATAATTAACAGTTCCTTATTTAGTTGACCTCTTTTATTGCTTGTCGCTTCCTTACTAACTGTAAATTATATTAAAAATTGACATGGTCAGCAGTTCTTCGTTTAGCTGACCTCCTTTGCGGCTTATCAGCTCAGTACTCAGATCTGATTATTGACGTTGTTAACATCGCTTTGTTTAGCTGATCTTTTTTGCAACATTGTAAATAATGTGTTTTGTTATAAGTTATTAGGTTTTCTGGATAGCAATCTGGCATTCACTCTTCAAACTTTCTAATATTGTTCAACAACTTTGATCAACAGTAATCTTTACCTCAATAAAATAAAAATTGATCAAGCATTGTCTTTTTCATAAACCATTTCTTCTTATTTGGTTCTACAATCTCCTCGATTCACACCCTATTTTATGACAAGATTATTTGGTGTCTGAGAACCCGATTTCTTATAAATTTTATTAAATTGTTGCTTCTGTTGAAAAAAGAAGTAATTCCTGTGTTACTCTACATATTTACATTTACATTCAATAAAGCTCTCCGAGACCAGCAATCTCTCCCAAAATAATAATTTTCAACCCATGGTTTCAATGTTATATGAACGATATATTTATATCATGAATCCATTTGAGACTGAGAAAATTTCTTTGTTCGTTTTGTTTCGATCATAAGCAAGTATACTCTCATTAAATTATTCTCGTTAGAAAGAAATACGTTGAAGTTTCTTCAAAAATACTCGTCATTTTCTGTACTTATATCGGGGTTTTTCTGTTTCATTAGCAGATATGATGTCATCTACATAATGTCATAACTCCAGATGATAGTTCTGAGATAGCATTCTGATGACTATATCACTCCAAAGGAAACTTTTCTGAAACGATAATATTTTCATCATTTGTGTCATTTAGTCATCATGATAGTGCAGTTTCTTTTTTCAGAGTATAGTCCCAATTGTTGCAAGAATCCCTTCTTGATATTAGGTATTATCACTACTCTCATCATGCAAAAATGTATTAGTACTTCTACTAGATCTGATAGCATTACTGGACCTCAATACAGTACTTCGCTTAACCACTTAAATCCTCTGAGATGCACTAAAGCATCATCATAAACAATCCTTAATTTGATTTTAGTCTTACTCTGAGTCAGTACTTTGCGTTGTGGCAAATAGTTTATAAATCTCATTCTTTGGATATACTTCAATTATACCTGGTTGTAATTAATCCTTAATTGTTTCATGGTATAAATTAGTATATCAAACATAGTTTCAATTTTTGCTCTTTCAGTTAATTTTAATCAGTGCGATAATTCCTTAGAGATAAAAAACAATTGTCATCCTATATCAATTATTGCTAAGGCCTTTTCTTGTCGTTGTCGATGTAGTAAGGAAGAGAAGTTTTTTTTTTTTTTTTTCTTGTCTTTCCCTCACTGAGTTCGTTTGAGTTACAATTGAATTGTAAATAGATGTCGAATATTCTCATTCATTAATGTGCTCAGTTTCTTTAATCTCTTGAATTCTGTTTAAATGTGCTATATTGTTTGAAGGTTTGTGTCATTTCTCTGAAACAAAACACATTTTTCCAGTACTCTGAGACGATTCATTCGAGAGCATTCCTGATGGGATAGATGTCGGATCGGTTGTCCCAATGATTTCAAGTCCAAAAGATGCATGGCCTTTTTTCTTGTTTGCTTTTTTTTTTTCTTTAATCTTAGGAGATTTTTCATCGCTACGAATTGTTGCTGAATCTTCTCCAAAATTGCTTCGGTAGTCTTATCCAGGCTTATGCATTGTTGGTTTACTAACAACATATGTAAATGAAAAGTGGGTGTTTCCTAACCTATTCATTCATGTTGACTGAGTTTGACGAGAAGCTTCTAAGCTTCGAAATAATAGATATAGCTCACCAAGGTATGTCTATTATTTTCTTAGACTTTATCTAGTATCCAATGTGACAATTTATTCTCCATTGAAGTTTCAATGCTGAAGTGTCCAGGCTTTCTCCTAAAGTTCTAGTTAGTGTAATACTCATTCCATAGTTTCTATTGTTCCAACCCATTCTTTTTTCATTTTTCTTGATAAATTGAAATTCGTTCTACAACAGTTTTATTACAGTCGAACACTCGCCATATTTATCTCTTAATATTTTTTTATAACTTTATAGTTTTCTGCCGCTATATCATACATAACCTCTTCCTACCTGCAACGCGTTTCTCAATAAACACGAATACAGGCAATTCAACTTTTAAATTTCCGAGGTTGTTTGTAAAAAAATTGTCTCCAAAACTTTCGCCACTGTCTAGGGTTTCCACTAAAAGTGAATAATGAAAATTAGGAAAGATTGACTGCGAGATGGGACGTGGGCCTTGACGGCTTCTTTTTTTGAGATAATTTTTGTGAGAGACGCATTATTCCATGGTCAGCTTCGTTCCTGTACATGGTTAATGTCATAATTGCTTCTTCATTTCATGCTTTTTCACCTTCGCGGAGTGCTCTGAATAATCCATTATCTTCTTGTGTGATTTTTTCATCCTTTTTTGTTGTTGCGGTGGTAATATTTTTGACATAATTGAGGTATTTGTCGTTTGCAGATTGCACCGTATGAATACTTGGTTAAGATTTTTGAACTTCATCTTCAATTATTCGTTTGCTTAGTCTGTAAAATTCTTATCGCTATTCGGCCGAAGCTCGATTCGGAAGCGTTAATTACATCATTTTTAATCTGAACAGTGTAGATAAGCTTACGTACAACTGAGAGCATTAAATGAATGACTGCTTACATGAGTTACAATTTTTTTCCTAAGCAGTATTCAATTGAGACAGTCGTTATTCATATGGATTAATACAATTTTATTTCGAAATATTATTTTATTGCGATATATCACGCTTGTTTTACATTAGACTTGGCATGATATTCTTGTTTGAGAGAATCACGATATTAAATTTTAAATAATATTTAATTGTTTGAGAAAACCCGGTACATCATGATTTTCTTTTATAACAGATTTTACACAATGTTCAATAGTTTTCGTGAGAATCCTGGCGTATCATGATTGTTTTACATTAAATTTTACATGACATTTCAATTGTTTGGGAGAGTCACGGTATAACACTTATTTTATATTTTACATAATACTGGAATTACTTGAGAGGATATTGGTGTATCATAAATGTTTTGTATTAGATTTGACACGATCTCTTAACTGTTTTAAAGATCAAATGATGGCCAGAAAAGAAACCCAACAACAATACGAGGCCAGGAAAAGAATTAGCCAAGGAAGAATAATGCGTCTCGAACCACATTTTGGGGACACAACATATCTAGCAACGTGTGGACCCTATCAAGAAAGACAGAAGAAAAAGAAGTATACACAAGTATTTCAATTGTTTGAAAGAATCTCGGTGTGTCATAAGTGTTTTGCGTTTATATATGATATGATATCTTAATTGTTTGAAAGATCAAATGTTGGCCGGAAAAGAAACCCGTCAACAAATACGAAGTCGGAAAAAGAATTATCCAAGAAAAAATAATGAGCCTCGAACTTTAACACTCTTTAAACCGCCAAAAACCCTATCACGAAAAAGAAATATATATAAAGAAAAAAGCATTTTAAATTTAATGTGAAAGAAAAGAAATTACTATAACTTTAACTACAACTCATAACTTTAAGTTATAATTAAATTACAACTTTAACTATGTGTAAAGATAACTCTAAATTAGTATCACAACGCCTAAACCAAGCTTATGTGAAGGATTAACTAATCCACTAACAGAATCAGAAACAAACCAAATATCATATCACCTAACGATAAATTTGTCTCAGCTATCATTGCTTACATTCACTGGTAATTGGCTGCCAGTATATGTACAAAAAATTACAGATTTACAACTGCATGTCTCAAAGGAGAGATGTTTTGCTGCTGCTATTCGTTAGAGATACTATATAACCACAGAAAATTATAACATTGTAAGGAATGCCTTTTCAAACAACTGCACATAATTAAAAAATTGCTCCACAGCGAGTTACATTTTATCAAAGAAAAAAAAAAAAGAATGCTTAAGAATGAAAGAAGATAAGATAACAGCTGAACCTGTTGAAAGGATATGTAGAAGATAATTAGAAGCTATAGGCGAGAATTTAGAACAATTTAGTGCTAAAATCATAATTAATATGATCCATTACTGAAATAAGACAAATCTTCGAAAAATTCAAAAAAATGAAGATAATAAAATATATAATAAAAAAAAAAAAGATAATAAAAAATATGTCTTCAACTTTAGCTATTACATCTGTCTCAAACAATTTAAATTTTATGTAAAATCTAACATAAAACAATCGTAATATACAGGAATTATTTCAAACAAAATATGTATATAAAATTCAATATAAGTAGGAGAACGGCGTTCTTGCAAAGATTTAAATTATCATGTAATATGATTTGCTATACTAACATTCACTTAAATAACTCAAGAATTTAAAAAGGAGGAAATTTTTACAGGAAGGTAAAATTATGATAATCTAACAATGATGAATTAATAAAAAAAATAGATGAAATGACATTGAGAATGGTGCTGCAAAATGAATATTGTTGTCTTAAATTGATATTATTCTCGCTGTATGTTTGATCGATTTATCGATTTGTACAATAGTTGGCGATGAAATTTGATTATGCAATTTAGGGTCTTGATGTTTTTAAATTTCAATTTTTCGGGTGTTTCATTCATTTCACGTCTCTACACGTCAAATGAAGGTTGGTATTTTAAATGATATAAGTTGATTGCTCTATTTGTTGAATGATGTAATTGTAATGATTTGGATTTCTTTTGATGTATGTTATTTGTATATTTGAATGCATTGAAAGTTTTATTTTTCTTATTTTTATTTATGATATTAGTTATTTGAATAGTAAATTTGAAATCTTCTTTTTTCTTCCCCTCAAAAAGCAAGAATTCAAGTTTTTTTTTCTTTTTTTTTCAAACTTTACTAAAAAAAAGAGAAAGTGTAACGTTCAGTTTAGCGGACTACCGTAGTAAAATGGGGGAGGGATAGCAGAATATGGGAAAGTTGGAATGATCGTTGTCTAACGCTGCAGCAGCGTATCTCTTCGTGGCATTTTGGTTCGTATGTTTTGTTTGTGGCCGAGCAACAACGAACTGATGAGCAATTTACTGCCTGTAGACTAATGCATTTGGAAGTTGAATTGAGAGATGGGATAATAGTTAGGATGATACCAATCATTCATTCACAAAGCATATAAAGTAGACTTTAGCTTCTGGCCAAATATTTCAGTTTGATAAGATTAGTAATGAATGATAAGAAGTGGAAGGGTGTAGACAAGGATAATGATGGATCAACGATGGGATTGATAATCTCAGATACTTAACTATAGGATTGCTAATGTTAGTTTGTGAGATGAATTACTGAGAGGGAGAGAATTTTTCGGAAAGAGAGGAGTGAAAAAGTTATTAATGAATTGCGTCTTATTGATTTTCTGAGTGGATTTTTAACTTTTTGGGCAACACACAGATTCTGTAAGGTCATTTTCAAAGGGACAAAAAGAAGAGGTAAGGATGAGGGGAAAGATGAGGATGAGGGAATTGTGGATGTGTCTGTTCACTGTTTTTTTTACATCTTCCTGTTTATTGTTTTTTCAGCTGTTTGTTATTTTGTAAAAATACTGAAGTGTCGAAGACTTTCAGATAAACGTATTATAATACTGGAACTTAAATTAGCTACTTCTATATTTATGTAGGAAGCAAAGCCAAAGCCAGGTTTTGTTGTACGTTGATAGGCACTGTTGTACGTTCATAGGCGATGTAACGTTCGGCAAATCATGCAGGCGTGACGACTACGGAAATATATGTTGTGCTGTATAAGTTGTAAATATAGGATTTAAAAGTTTGAAATAATAAAAACCGGAAAAGTCCAATGGCGAATCAAGTGACACTCGAGGTGACGGCTGGTAGCAGCTCTCCGCCGAGGATGAACGAAAACAACGAGTCGAGTAGCGCAAGTAGCACGTGTGATGGTGGTCACGCAAACTTAAATTCTCCGGCTGATGTCTTGTCGAACGATGCAACCGCGGTACTGAGCGATATACGACGACCAGCCGGACCTATTGCTGATAGTGATAGTAATGGTGAATCGTCTTATTCGAATACCATAGATGCATCAAAGGATATCACAGGTAGCGGAGCGAATTATCGAACAACTGGTGGTGTTGGAGGCAGCACTGGTGGATTAATCCAACCGCAAAGATCTTCAGTTGATAGGGAGTTGGGTGACAAATCTGCTACTGCTCCTAGTAATACTAATACTGCTGCTAATACTACTGTTACCACTACTATTACTGCAATTACTACTCCTACCACTACCACTACTACCACCACAGTTACCAGGAAAACTGATGCAAGTGTACCAGCGGACTCTTCAATGTTTAGGACTAAGTGTAAGTTTATTTTTCTGCCATGGATATTACAATTCTTTTTTTAGCCTATGTTGTAACTATTTGCCATTTTTTGGAGTTTCAGGAGCCGAGTGGCTTACTGTTTTAGCCATATCAATAATTCTTGAATGATTTGGAGTTGTCAGCATCCCACTTCTATTATATACGAAGGCCCTTTTCTCCATTTCATTGAATTAGGATAGGTTTCTACATTGAGCTCATAGAAACTGTACTTTTGCTCTGTTGTGGATAAATGTTAGTTGTTCATCATTTATAAAAGGATCTACATGTAGTTAGATTTATATTCAGTTCGTTACTTGTTATTTCACACCGTTTTTGGTCTTTATACCATATCCTATTTTCACCACTTTTCTGTTGGTATTTGTCACTTTCCCAATTTTTGGATTTTATCCTAGTTGACGTTTATATGTTTCCAAGCCTTATATGAAACAGTATCATCTACATTTGGCAAAGCGATACGATTGTTTCGATATTTCCCAACCCCATAAAATTCTGCGTTTCAAAATTCTTCATCATAGTAATCTTAGGTTTATGAATTACGTTTTGTTAATTGACTCAATAAAAGCAAACGTCTTGTCGGTGAAGTTTCACGCCGTAGTTTCTGTGTACGTCACATTTACTTTTTCAGCATTTCATTTTCATCTCATTATATATGAAATAAAAATTTAGAAGAATGTGATTTTTTCGTTTTTGCGTAGAGTTCTTTTTTATTGGCGTTGTCGATTACTGTCGGATGAATATTGGAATAGTTGAAGGCACTAAGCGTCGTTTCCACGTTTCAGTACGCTGTGATATACGTTCCAGGGCATTGGAAACTTTTTTCTAGAAAGTGTATTGCCGGTGATGATTATATTGAAGGACGGTACCATCACGGCATGAATAAGTGAGTAACTTGTTACCTGTTCCATAGACCCTTCCACCGAAAGGATGGCAGCTTTGTAAACAGTGCTTGTCAGCAAATTAGGTGTAGGGATAAGCTGAACTGTATTCGATATTATTCAAGGGCAGAGTTCACTAGGACAGTAAAAAGATCTAAACACTTTGCCAGTTAGTCCGATGGAATATCTACTGGAGTTATATGTCTATATTATTGCGCCACCCAACATTTAAAGCTGCAGTCCATTGGGTCAGGCCATACGAAAGAAGATGTACATCATTGTGCATATGGGCAGGCGGGAGGCGCGAGGGTTACATTTGCCGAAGCTCGCAGAGACCACCCACACTGTGAGTACCATCGCCGACATGTGATAGATTGCTATGCTATTCTTGCTGTGACATTTTCATATTCTCCAGACATTTTTCACACATTTACCACCATACATCACTTCCAAGATGTAAATAGTCAACATATTTCAGGTGAAATGGACGTGGGTACAACCATAACTTCAAGAACACCTTCTAGGAAAGTGAATGATTGCCATGAAATTGTCAAGTCCTCAGCTGTAGCTGGAGAAAGAAGGGGGAATTTATGTTCTGTACATCAAAGTGGTGTGAGGTTTGTCCTTCATTTTTTTCCCCTTTTTCACTAACAAATTACATATCGTTTCGTCAGAGTGTATTTTCGATCTATTGTTTGTAAAAAAATGGAAATACGAAAAGTAAAGGAATGGAATATACGTAAAAAAGTGGAAGTATGATATGTGAGTGAAAAAAATATATATATATATAAGCAAAAACTTGAATATAAGTATAAAACAAAAGTATGAACTGCGAGTGGAAAGTGGTTGTACAAAAATGTGAAATGTTTGGAAATGGCGAAAGCAGGTACGTAATAGTAATATAAAGTATGATAGGGCATTTCTGATTTTTGTTCGACCGTATTCGTATTTCAGGAAAGCCAAAATTAATGTTGCATGTCAGACCGATCCCGATGAGGAAACATTCCCGAAAATCACGCAGTGTTCTCGGACCACTATTTCCCAACCTGTTGCAAATAAAGGTTTGATTTGAGTGTTCAATAATTGCTACCCTAATTATAAGACTTTTCGAATGCTCAGTGAACTGCTTTTTATGTTTGAGACATTTGTAGGTCTGACAGAAAGCTTAGAAAGTGATCATTCCATATCATTTAAAAGATCTTCTGGTAGCGATCACTTGGAATAATTCGTATTATTTGTTTTTCGCTCATGGACTTAAGCTTTGGGTGCCTGTTATCTTGTCAGGAATTCAATTTTCAACTTCATTTGAAGTTCAAATAATGTGAAACTTTGCTCTTCCTTTCAATATATCAGCTTGTTATATCTGTTGGAAGTCTTAGTCTTGTGAAGTGCTAATTACATTCGCTTGTTCCAGGTACCGTAGCGTCATCAAGTACTGATGCTAGCTCTCCTACATCAAGCACTTCATCTGATGGGACATTGCGATTGATGATTCAAAACTTCACCAACATGGCTGATACTGTGAGGGGGCCAAGTAAAAAGATACAAGCTGTTCCTTGGTTAGTGTAGTGGTTTTCAAACCGCTGAACAATTTATTAATAATATTACAGGCATGGTAAGTTAGAAATTTGGGGAATGATATTATCTTTAAGGATTATCAGTTGTCACTTTATATATGATGATCCTGAATGTACTCATATTTCTTTAAATGAATATCTTTAGTTCGTTTCTTTTTGTTTATAGGCGAATAATGGTGATGCCTCGACAGCATGTTGTACAAAAGAAAGGCACGCAAAAGTGTTTGGGATTTTTTCTGCAGTGTTGTCCAGATGCTTATTCTGAGTGAGTTATCACTGCACTGTTTTTGTAGCTATAGGATAAAGAATGAGGATTTCTCTACTTACGCTTGATTCATTTTTTTTTCTCGAAGGAAAGCATATTTGCGGGATATTTGCGAAACTGAGCTAAAAAGAGTATAGTTTCTGCATACCTGTCTGCTCTGACATACTTTTTTTTTTAGTTCATGGTCGTGCCAAGCTGCGGCAGAATTGCGACTAATTTCACAGAAGCAAGGTGTACCGCATTTTACAAGAAAAACTAATCATGTTTATACAGCTAAGGAAAATGATTGGGGATACTCATGCTTCATGACATGGGCTGTAAGTTAAATTTGAATAAAACTTTAAATGAAATGATTCAAACAGTAGACGTAAGAAAGTGATTGCCTGATTACATGTACTCTGTGGAATATCTCTTTGACTGACGAGTCGTAATTTTCCATATATCGAATTTTTTTAGGACATATTAGATGAAAGCCAAGGTTATATCAAAGATGACAAAGTTATTTTGGAAGTATCTGTTAAAGCGGAACCTCCGAAAAATATCTTGTAAGAAATTTTAATTGTATTTTTATTTACACATAATTTTTTTTTTATTTTTTAATGAGGTAAGGAGTGAAAAAATTCGTGCTTCCATTATTATATTATTCCTAGAAATTTCCCTACTTTTCAGAACTCATGAACAGTTCGAGAAGAAAATCCAAGATTATATGAGATTAGCTGATATTCAGAGCAGTAGAGGGCTCATTGATAAAGCTATCGAAGTTAACATGAGCGCTCTGAAATTCTGTAAAGATCGTGACCAAGATTGCAAAGCCGATCTTGAAGCTCAGAAGTCAAAGCTGATTGAAATGAAACTGAAACAGAGTATTGAAAGGATTGAAAAAGGTTTTCATGTTACTGGTTTTATGCGTGCAATTTTAGAAAAAATTTTTGTTTTTCCAACATTAATAAAATTTATATTGATCATGTAAGTAGTGATTTCATTTTATCGTGGTGACAGCTGTCTTTTTTAGGACCACCGCATGGTAAGAGTGATGAAGAAAATTCACTTAATCAGAGTGCTCTAAAACAGGCAATATCAGGTGCTGCCACAATAAACAAACAATCGAATACAAACAAATCAAAATCGAATTCCAATAGTAAATCGCGTGAAACTAATGCAGAAAGAAATGTTAATGTTCAGAACAGGTTTTCATACTTTTTTTTTTTTTGTAAATCCTGGGCATAAATACAGCCTGATTGTTCGTCAGCCATAAAAAAAGAATGCTTAAATTGCTCATTAGTTGTTTTTTAACCTTCATAGGCTGACTGTAATTATATCAGAAATTAAAAGAAAACAGTTTATTTTTGTAGAACAGCAACTTCGCCCCTAAATAAAACATCGGAAACAAGGCAAGTTGTGGAATCAAATGTTACGGAAACTCGTCCAGTGCTTCAGAACGATAGAAACACTATCACTGTGCAAGGTTTTTTTTCCTCAATAATTATAAGTTTTAATGACGTGAATATCCGCACTCCTCTAGATCGTTCATATTTGGCAATATTAACGATCTGGAAAATTGCGATTATCCACATATCCAGCAGAATAGATTTCATCTTTTAGTTTTAAAAAAATGCTTAAGTTTATGCATTAATGTTATTTTTAGAAACTCCAACTGAAGTATTGCTGAATTCGACTCATGAAATGAAGTGGCTTTCTGGTGATGGAAAACAAGAAGAAGGGCTAGATGATTCAGTAATTACTTTTTTATCATTTTAAACAATAAATTTTTCAGTAATTATTTTTTTATCATTTTAAACAATAAATATTTGTGGACAAGTATTTTACTGAGAAAAGTTTCTTTTGATGAGAAAATTTTAAGTAACTGCTGAAGAAATTTTCATCCACATAGTAACGTCATGATAAGATGGCGATGACATATAGTTTTCTGGTAGTTTCAGGGTTTTTATATAATGTGTAAATGATGCATTATAATTGTAGAGACAGGAGAAAGTACGAAAACAGGTTGATGTAGCCGTTTTCGGCAGTGTACGAAAAGAAGAAAAGACTGATAATAAGGAAACTGCCTGCGAAAGGTAAATTTGGAATTACGAGTTATATCATTTGTGAAACTCAGCTAATGGTAAGTGAGTGATTCAGTATAACTTTAAAATGTTTCAGATTGGATGAAAAGCCGGATGATGAAAAGAAAGAAATGATGGTCAATGCTAATTATTTGGAAAATAATGTATTTGCCTTAGGAGCCAAAACCACCGAAGATGGAGATATATTGCAAGCCGATTCACGGGTGCGTTGAATTTATGGTCACCAATAAAGAATCATAGGCAAGAGGAAGGGAATTGAACTGTTATTTGTTTATCACCTGCGGCATAATGACCAAGGCAATTAATGATGGAAAGTCATCTGTGTTACAGGTGTTATAATTTGCAAAATTTAATTAATTTTAGAAAACTGAGACACAAGGGTCAGTTGGACCGGTTCTTCGTTGCATGTATGATGTAAGCGGACATGCTCAGCCGTGGGAGTTATCCGAAGAACAGAAAGAGCAACACGTTCTTGAATGCTCTAGTGATGAAGAAACGAGCTCATCAAGTGGTGCTTCTTCCGATAGTGAGGTGATTGTTTTTTAAAAAATCTCAGAGTATTGTTTTTTTTTTTTTTTTTTTTTTTTTTTTCAATAGTTTTGTTGGACGAAGATTTGCTTGATTGAAATGTTCAGAACTGTCTCATAATTACTGTCTGAAATTTTTATAGTATTTTTCAATTTTTTCTTGTAATGTTTGCTTGATCCTAACATTTAAACATTGTTCAGGCTGAAGGAAATAATGGTCGCACAGCGGTTGGAGTTCCCTTTTCCAAAAAGATGAAGCGTTCAGTTCAAAATGATGGTGCAGTAGTACGCGATGATTGTGATAGCTGTATTCAGGCTATTCTTGAGCCAGCATCTCTTAATACGGAGGAGGCTTCATGTCAAACTGATTGTAATTTTTCCACTGTTTTGCGGATTTACATATATAATTTTAATAACGGCAGAGATTCGATTATTCTTCGATTTTCTACTCTTAATGTTATTGAGATGCTGATAAAATGTGGCTAACGCCCACAATTAGTTTTATATTTTTGGTTAGATTGTGGCAGATTAAAACAGCAAGTTCACTGTAGATTTTTTTCCGGTTCTGGATTGCTGGGGTTTATTTTTTGTTTTCATTTCTTTCTAAATTATATTGAGATTCCAAACAACATTTTAATAAAGTACCTTAAGTTTCCGTGCTAATGCCGAAAGCAGATGCAGCAATAGTGAATGCACAAACGGGTATGACAAATCCAATTCCAAATCGACCGTATGCACAGCCAAAGAAACAGACAGCAAAGAAAACCATTCCCAATGGTGGTACGTATTGTTTTTTGTTTTTTTGTTTTGTTTTGTTTTTTTGTTTTTTTTTTCGATATCAACTGAATTTTTCGTTTAAATTTGCTGACTGTTTCAATATCATACATTGCATATTGACTTTCTGAAAATTTTATATTTTGAGGTACTTAGAATTTTGCATTGCTGAAATGGTGTATTATGCAGAACTCTTAGGGTTGTTCTGTTTATAACAACGTGAAATAACACAAAATTTTAGAATGGCGTCGAAAGAAGCCGAACGAGTTCAAAGATGTGGATTCTAGAAAAAAACAGGACGAGGTTCTTTTTTCACTTACTACTATTATAAATTAATAGGACAATCCTTCAGATGTATTTCTTCTTCAATATGATCTTATCAGTTGCAGCAGTCAAAAACCCAAACAGATAATAGGACAGAAATAGCTATGGAAATGCAGAAAGAAAGCATAGCACGTTTTACATCACACTTCGCTAATGTGGACCCAAAAGTATGTTTTCAAATTTGAAATGTTATTGGAAATGGTGCATTTAGAAGTCATGAACAATTATTTTCATTATTGCAGACATTTCCTGTCTTTCCAATTTATCATTCGCAGCAAATTATTGGAGACGACTTGGCAAACCCACAGGTTTTAGTTAATATTACTTATAACTCCGATTTCTCAGCAACTACAAGGTGTAATATAACTTTCACTTAGAAACAGTACGTTTCCAGCTGATATAAAATAAAAAGTTGATCTAGGTGCAATCATACATAGATGATTCGGCACAACCGAATATTTGGTCACGACAATATATCGAAGAATGGCTTAAATTCAATATTAAATATTGCTGGAAATACATGAAGAATGGAGAGGTTTGTCGTCATATTTTATCTCCTTTTTTGTTTGTGCATATCGTATCACGAGACCACAAATTTCTTTTCAGAATCCGCCTGCAGCTGGCGATGAAAATAGTTTGGATTTCGGCGCCGGTAATATTCCTCATTTTACAGATGCACAGGTTACTTTTTGTTTAAAAAGAAATTGGAAAAGTTTTTGTTTATTTCTAAAGAAATAAAAATGCCTATACTGACGCAAAATGTAGAAAGAAGGTAAATCAGAGTGATTAAGCGCTAGTTACTTAAAATCTTAACAGTTTTATTTCTTCATCAATTTCACTTTCTTTTAAGGTTCAGCAAGTTATGGCAGCGCTGTCAGTGATTGGTGTTAACTGTGTGAATGCTAAACGTGTGGTTGACAAAGCCGCTGAATTTATTAATACATTGGAAATGCGTTCGAAAAGTCCTTTCCTTAAAGGCTGTCTGCAAAAACTGGCAATTCTAGCTGGCGACGAGAAAGTTATCGAGGCAATCAAAGATGGACGTAGAGGTAATAGAGAGGGTAAAAACTAGAAAGCAGTGATAAGTTCCTGGCAGCGTAATTGAGATTGTAACAAGGGAGAAGATTTTTGGGAATCATTTATTGTGTTTTTAAAACCCATTATTGTTAAGAGTACTCTACAACGGTTAGTCATGATACATTTCAGATCTTGATTGCTCTTCACTGGATGAACATCATTTAACAGCGCCTTTGGTTGATGATGCAGATGACTTCAGTTCCTTGATGTCTGACTGTCCAGATGACCAGCATGACTATATGTTGAATCGCGAAGTGCATCGTATTGGTGTTTTTGCCGACCAGGCTGTGAGTAAAAATCCATTGATGGAAGTTGGCCAAGCAGAAAAGTGAGTTATTTATTTATTATTTTTATTTATTTATAATTGACTTTTCAGTGAAATGCTTTGTGTAATTAATGTTACTGTTAATTTTGATCTATATATACACGTACTTGAAGATTGAACGAACATACGGAGAAAATCGCGCAGCGTATTGCGTTGCTTGAAAGTGATAAAGAAGCTCTATCGCGACAACTTACTGCCGAAAAAGAGAAAAATAAAAAGTAAGTTCGAGATCTCAAGGCATGTTCATAAATACAAGCAGTTTTTTATTGTTTTAACTGTGAAGAAAGGTTATATTTAAAATTTGGCTATGGAAAAAAAGAAGCATGTGAATCACTATATTATTTTTTTTTGCAGACAAGAACAGAAACATGCGAATATGATAAAACAGGTGCAGGCACAAGTGCAATCTGAGAAAGAAAAACATGAGAAGACAATGCAGCAACTAAATCAGAAGAAGAATGAATTAAAGAAGCTCGAAAAAAGTGTCAAACAACATGAGTGAGTTTAGCATGGAGTTTTACGAACGTAGGCTAATTTATACTGGCTTATGATAGACCGATACCAGAGATCCCGATCGACGAAATGTGTTGGTAATACATTACAGAATGGATCTGGTAGGATAAATGAAATCATGCCCGAGATAAATTGTTGCAAGATAGGTGCAAATCCAGAATAAACATAGGGAATGAACTATAAAACTAAACATTCCAGAAGTGTGGTCGAGAATTGATCCAACTCATTAAAATTTAATTTTATGATTCATTTCTGAGGTTCACTTTGAAATTGCGGTCGTCTAGCAGCGATTCATCTTTGACATGATATAATACTTATTTTATATTTGTTCGTTTCTGCATTTGAAAAGAACTCATTCCCCTACCAGATCCCTAATGAGACAACCAATCCACTTGTAAAAAATGTTTTCTTTTGCTTTTGATATATTCTGTGCTAAATGATCAAACCCACATAAACATCATGTTCATAAACTCTAGGCGAGATTCTGAACGGTCACGGGAATTACAAGAGAAAAATGAATATTTGACACGGGAAGTGCAAGATCTTCGACAGAAACATGCAGAAGAACTGAGGAAACTGCAAAGAGAGTTGCAATCCAGTCAGGATACTAGAAAGAACATGGCCGAAGAAATCAGAGGACGTGATACCGAAATCAGCGAATTAAAAAATCAGCTTAATGAGCGGTCGATTGCACTGAAGCGTTCCGAAAATGTGCTGTCTTCGGTGAGTTCATTATGAGCAGATAGTGTGATTTAAAACGGGGAAGAAGCTTCGGATTATGTCTGTACATTCAAATTAATCTCTTCTTCTAAATTAAGTTAAACTAGTTCTAAATTTATCATTTCAGGAACGCAAGACATTTCAAAGTAATATAGCTTTTTTGACTGAACGTGCAAAGAAGGCCGAAGTTTCACTGCTGGAGCATAAGCTTGAGACGGGCGTTGCTGTACTTGAAAGAGCTCATAAAGACGCTGGACAACGAGTGAAGGATCTGGAAGCCGAAATGAAAAAGTATGTCACTCTGTTTAATTTTGTCTGCTGACTACATAGCAGTTATCTCTTACTAATCGTCATGAGAGAATTTTTGAAAATTTGGTGATATAGTATGGGTGAGTTGTTTCTTTTAGTTTAGAATATATTATGAAAAATTTAGGGCGAGGAATCCTGTGGCGGTGGAAGAACTGAAAGGAGCTGCTGCTGAATGGAGAGCTAAGCGAGAAGAAGTAGCCAGTCTCATTGCAACTGCAAAGGGCGAATTTGCTGTACAGGTAAACTGTTGAAACTACAGCTTGTTCGAATTTTGGTCTGGTCAGTTTGCTGAAGTTTGCTACGATATCTACAAAAACTCTCTTGTCCAGGAAGCAAGAAATTACTTGAACGTTTAACTAAGAGATATTTTACCCTAAAGAAAATGGTTTTTGTGTCAAAAATTGAAGTTTTATAATTTCCACCACATAAACTGTTTTCATTTTTTAGATTGAGCAAATCAAAGCAGGAAAGACAATCGCTCAGTTACCAAAAATTAGTGTGCCAAAACCTCCACCTGCACCAAAGTTCAAAGGACAATTTGTGCCTCAGATATCGCCCGCTGGTGCTGAAAAAGCTGTAACACCTGTTATACCGGCTGTTGGAGTAATTGGCAATCGGACTCCTGCGGCTGGCTTAGTTATTAGTAAGTTTATAGCCTTACTGATTAGTTAATCAGTAAATTTATAAGTTTATCATACGGATTATTTCTGTCGATAATGGCAAACCTTAAGTTGAAATTTTTTAGATTCTTCGTTAACCTCCGGCAGTGTTGCACCGGGTGCACCAATGCAAACAATGTCGAAAGCTCCTGCTCCTCCGTTATCTTCCCCCGTGAAATCACCCACTGGCACTGGAACGTCAATAACACCGATCGGTTTGTTTTCCCATGAAGGCTTCGTAAATTAAGGACATGGAAACTTGTTTAGAATTAAAGCATATAAATTTAAAAGCAGTATAAGTTTTATTCTGGTGTTTAAAACCATAATCTGCGTAATGTATACGTTAAAATTTTCATTTTTGTATGACTTACTTTCTAGGTTTCGTCTTAATCAATTAATGTCTGTTGCATTTTAAGTGGAATGCCTTTCAGGTGTTCGACCTACTAGTCATACGGGTTCTGCGGCAGATTATGCTAATAGCCATGCTACTACAGTTAGTTCTTCGTCCAATGCCACACAAGCAACTACCAGTACGGCATCTTCTGGATTATCATTACCAACTGCTTGGGGTTCTAGCTGGGATGCGCCGCTTGCCATGAATTCGATCAACGAACTGCTCAATCCTAGTCGTTCATTCGGACCCATCGGTACCGATTATGGTATCAGCACCGGTGGGAGTTCTGCTCAGGTTTAGTTATTTTCTTATTTTTTCCGAACATCATTGTTCGTTTGTTGCTAACTTCATAACCAGTGTTTATAGCTATCTCATCCACCACCTGGTATTCCTAATACGAGTAGCCATTTCACATCGCAGTCGAATGGCTGGAGTAATGGAGGCGGGAACGAATGGCTTAATACGTTATCCTGTAAGTTCTTAAATTATACTCATTTGTTTGAAAATTATGATTTGTTCAGTTCATATTTTTTTGAAATTTTCAGCTGGAAACAACAGTAACAGTGTGATATCGAACCAGCCAAGTCATTACAACCATTTGCAGCATCAAGGAAGCGGTTATCAATCACAGCAGTGGCCTAATTGGACTGGTTATCACAACCCTTCATCGAACACCTCTGATATCGCTGTATGATTTAATATTATCTCTCTTACATTATTGGGTCCGCCGTTTTATCTTTTTTTTTTTTTTCGCTTAAGCTCGATTATTAACATTCTTTAGAATGCACTGGTAGTGGATAACAGCCGAAGTTCGTCTCCTCGACGTGATACTTTGATGGATACTCTACGAAGTCATTTTCCACATATTTCTCCGTAAGTTAAAGAACTCTATGATATTAATTTCTTTTAAGAAATTAACGGTTTCATTTCCAAATTTTCTGAGTCTTTCCAGTTTCATATAAAGCATTCGCTGCAGCTTTTCGTTTATAAAGTTGATATCTTTACTGCTACAGTCGTAATTGGCTATAGTAGTGAGAATTAATCTCCTGCTAGCAGTTTCTTGTTTTCAGTGAAAACTTGAAAGAATACACAAACGAATACATGATGCGGAACAATTTACCAAGTTTTAAGGCACTTCCTTTGCGCGATTTGATAAGCTATGTTGCAGTAGCTTCAACGAAAACACAGGTTTTACTTTTTATTAACAACCACTGCATTTGCTTTCAGTTGCAGATTTTTTCGTTATTAATGGATTGAGTCAGAATAAAACTGGAGTATCCAGCAGTATTAATTTTAAAGAGCTTTTACTTCTGGCGTTTTCATAGAGTAATCCGGAATGGTTTTGGATTAGCATAGAAAATTACTGCGTTATAACTCACTAACTTGAATAATTTTGCGCATGAAATGTTTCATCAAACCATTTTAATATATCAATTAGCTTATCGATGACTAATTCGATTAGTTTCTATTAATTTATAATGGTGTGATTCAGTAAATATTCAACATTTCTTTTTTTCATGATAAAATGCTCTACAGATGTGGAGTAAAAGCAACAGTATACCCCCAATGATGCATCAACCTCCTCCAAATGTGTTACCAAATTCAATTAGCATAAATCTTTCTGCTCTTGATCATTATCAAGCGCCTTCGGCGCGTATTCAAACCCAACAGCCTAATGTCCACCCGCATAATCTTATGCAACAGCAAAGTTAGTAATTTTTGTTTTTCGATACTGCAATATAGAACAATTTATATAGAAAAATTGTTGTCTAAAAGCTCTTATTTTAAAATAGCAAGATTACTGAATGATTTAATAGCCCAGTAGTCCGGTACATGTCTCCAAATATTTGTAAAATTACAAGCTGCACAAACACGGGCACACTCAAAATAAGTTCAAGTTGTCTTCATTTGAACTGCTCCTTCGTAGTTTGTCAGCATAGCCGTTGGTGGTATTAAATGGAATGCAATCGCTTCTAAATCATATCGGTAAAGGCTAATTTTCACTGTTTTAATTGGTATAATTTTTCAGTGCGTGATACTATGGAGAGCTAATTGTTCATCTGAATCATTCATGTTCTTTTCTTTAATAAATTTATTAGCCATGAGGAACTCATTGCTTCTTAAATCCACAGTTAGTGGTAAATGTCAGAAAATTTAAAGATAATTTTTGTTTCAAACAAATGAAACAGATTTCAAAGAAGTCATCACCATTGATGAGAAATTTTGTTTCATCTTAATGCTAGTTATAATAACCAGGAGCGAAAACTGTATGGTTAACCTGAACTGCCCCTAGGCCCCTTGCTCAAAGTTTTTCTAGAAAACCCACTCGCTTCCTCTTTTGTGTACTTTTTTTTTTATTTTATTGTATCTGATCCATACATATGTCTCAATGTCTTTTCTGTAGGGTGCCCCTGTTCATTTTTTTGTGAATTATTGTTGCTTTTAAAGTTGTGCTATAATTCATTGTGTTTTTTCTCATTCTTTCCTGTAAGTATATTTGCGTTTTGTGTTTTATTACTTATTTTACTTCGACTGTTTTCTTCTGAGCTAAAAGTTTAAGTGTACTGGGGATTTTGAATTCGATATTCAGAAAAATGCAAGATAGGAGTATTGTATACATATGCGTTCTTGTTTACACTCGTTAAATAAGGACATCAGTGTGGATTTTTTATTGACATATTTGCTGCTGCTTCTACTACCCACAATTATGATGTTGCTACGCTGTTTCTGTTGCTGATGATGATGAAAATGTTTCATTCTCTCATTTTAATCGTTCTTATCCTTCTGTGAATCACAAAAGCAAAGACTGTTTTTTATGGCTTATTTTGGGCCTAAGGTTTGCGGGGCTGATTAACCAATGAGGCAATGGCATACTGCCTTACGAGAGAGCGAGCAAGCAAATTTTGTAAAACAAACGGGAACAAAGAAGGGTGAGAAGCAGGAAACCGAAATATCAGAGTTTTGGGAGGGGGTTTTCGTTCCCGTTGTTTTTTTTTTTTTTTTTTTTTTTTTTTTCGAATTTTAAATAACATGAATTAAATGACGGATTGGTATCTTTCCTTATCCATGCCTCCTGTCTATTATTGTCGATCCTATTATGATTGTTATGACTATATTCTCTAACCGGTTTTAAATTTTCGGTGTGATCCTGCCCTTTTTTTTTCCATTTTTTCAAAGGATACAATCTACTTTATTGTCGATTTAATTCATTTTCGTGTTAAACCAAAAAAAGCAACAGTGAACGTTCAGTGGTTTTATTTTGTAAAATTTGCGGAACAAAAAGGGCAAGGAAAATGAGGAAGAAAAGGAAACATTGCCAACATGCTCTACTAACAGTTTTAAGACCAGTTTTACATATGTCGTTTTAATGATTGTTTTGATTGCTTCGAACTATTTTTGGGAAGAATTGCATCTTTGATAAAATTGTATTGCTAGAGCTACTCAGTGAGTAGTTTACTTATTCGATAGTTTTTGATGCACATTTCTATGATCCACTGAACAAATTTTCATGATACATCGGTAACATTTAGTTTGGTAAGGACACAGTTTGATCTTTCAATACTTTTAATTCCTGCCAGATATTTTCTATGGGTGTTAGTAGTCAGGAAAATCTAATTGAAAGCAAATGTGTATGACTTTAAGACTATTACCGCTTACATATGGCTTTGTCATAGACACGGTACGCGTCGTAGCAGAATACCTAACCGATGTCAAGATTACAATTTGCCTTATATTTTGCATGATAATTGAACAAGTTACGGAAAACCTAGCCAGCGAATGTAAGTTTGGATGAAGGATCATCCAACTGTGTTATTGGCATGAGTTCAGCATTCACTAAATTAGGTTAGCTTTAGCTGAGTGCAGTCACATCTCAGCAGGTCAAGACATTCGTTACAGTTTAACAGTGGCCTAATGGGTATTTGTTAACATTATTTTAAAGTACCCACAAGTTTCTGAATAGTTTTTTGCTGTAATTTAATGCTTTAGAAATTTTGGTAGCTAAGTGTGGTTATAACTGTTTTATTTATGACTAATTTATATGCTATATTAATGTTTTGTACCAGTTAATTTCGCATATCCATAGTAATTCATAGAATGATTCTGTGAAGTTTATTCACTCGAATTCTAGATCTCATTGGTGATGAACATTGGGATCACATTTTGCTTATCATTAGATTATTATTCTACTTGGACAACGTTCTACTACTATATTTCCTTCGTATTTTTTTTTTTTTTTTTCGTTATCAGTTATGAGACTTGTTAAATTTAAGTCTTTAAAAAGCATATTAAATAGGAAGGTTAGAGGGAAGCAAATGATATTGTTCACTTTTATTTCAATTAAAATATCATTGTTTTAAATGAAAAATAAAAATGTAATGATTCGAAAAAAAGAAAAAAAAAAACGAACAAGCAAGATTGGAGAAAGAAAATATACAGGAGTATTGTTTCATTCATGTCTGCGAGAGATCGAAAAGTTCGCGTAGCAATGGATTTAATTCGCTATTATTTAATCCATGATAAATACGTAGCAAACTATGACTCAAATGATTTAATTCATCATCTAATTTCTTGAGTAATTCTTGATATGCTCTTTCCGCTTCAGATGTCACATAAAGATTGCCAAGATATCTGAATTCATAATGTTTGGAATGATTGTTGCTAAATGAATTTGTACTATAAATTAACGATTTCATTTCTAACTTGTTCATAAATGATCAATGATATAGTCTTCCTGTAAGATTTTCATAATTATTTCATCGAAATTTGAAATCTGTTTAATTCGAAATTCGTTTAACAAAAGAAACTGGAAGATTGCATTAATAATAATTTATATGCGCATAGATTATACCTTCTCAGAACATCACAATATCTTTGTCTTATTTTTTGCAATTTTTGAATATCTTGAAGATTGGTACGAAATGGTGAAAATAATGTTATTGCATTGAGCAATAGCATAATATATTCATTCTTACCCCATTTTTCGCCAAATGTTGTTAGAAATCTGCAAAAGAATACCTTCAAAAATTACTAAATGGAACTCAAATTTAACTAAATTTTCCAATTCCAAAGACTTTACATTATTAATTTTACCTATCATTTTTGAATCAAAGAATGATCAATTTATAAAAAATAAATTCATAAAACTGGTGTATGAATATTTATACCTTTTATGCTCCTCATAATGTTTCAGTTCCTTAGAATTTTTTAATATTTCCAATTTGATTTCCAATTCCGCTGGACTCTGAAACAGAATTCAAAAAAAAAAAACAAAAATTACTCACGCAGTTGGTTCTCCATACAATTTGCAGATAACATGAAATGATAGCTTTCCTATTTTTATGCTTACGTAAAACTACTAGAAAGTATGCTAAAACCATTCAGGATTGCAAGATTTAAAATTATTTTTAAGATAAGCACAAATGCACAAAATATTTCAAACATTTTCAAAGCAAATTACTTCCACAAATATTTCAAAGTACTGCAAAATTACGAAATAAAATGGAAAGAATTCAATACTTTAACTTATTAGAAAAAAAAGGTGTGGGAATAAATGCATGCAAAAAAAATAAAAAAATACATTTTGTCAAGATTTACTAGAAAGAAAACTGATAATGATCAAAAACAAAAAATCATGCAAGCATTTTTACTTAACAATGATTAAAGTAAAGGCTACAATTAATAATGCATAATAGAAGTCATTTTTTAAAAGAGGAAATAACAAAGCCTGATATGGAAATACGATATTTCAACGAAACAATATAAAAGAAGTTTGTAATTTATATGATTATATGATTAATACAATTGGAAGTAATAATAATTCCTGAATGATTTTAGACTTCATTTTTCTTTCTTTTTTTTTTTGAAACTTGGATTTTAAGTTTTTATTATAGCTAAATTTCATATTTCCAAAATAGGATAACTTCAGTTATTAGTAAAAAACAAAAAGTTATTAATACTTAAAGTATAAAAAGATTTTCCATGCCTATACATTTAGCAGAGTAAAAATTTATGTTTTACACAGGTAAGAATTCAAACCTGTATTACACTCGTATTCCATGCATGTTTTTTTTGATCAAATACCATAACTCCTCGCAATATCAACAATTCACTGCATGATCCTATAGAGGGAATGGAATAAGCATTTTTATTTTTACCTAGCAAATTAAGTCTACCACTTTAACTCAAACACTTTCCTAATTTTGTTGGAATTTCTGAAAATTTGGGAATATATTTCATTCAGTGAGAATACTGCCTGCTGAGAACTTTGAACAGTCTAAAAATCAAAATTAAAATTCATTTTTTACATTGATTACTTTTAAAATCAAATGATATCATTTAAAACAAATAATAATTTTTTGTTTTTACAAAATGAACAAAATTAGTATTAAATATGCACATCTGATTTTATGTTATATTTCTTCAATTGAATTTGAAATTCTTGTCAAATTTATTTGAAGTAGTAAAGAAAGTAAAAAAAAAAAAGTGAAAAGAATTGACACTCATTTTTTTGACACCCAAGATTTTTGGATTGGAGCATTTAAAATCAATTGGAAATTGCTTAAGGAATTACAAAAAGATATTATTTAGTGACAAACCTTTAAGGACAGAAATTTGATCTTTGCTTGATAAACTTTTGAAAAATGTTAGTTCTTTAGCCATGTTAATGATACGTCGAAGTGCCAAATCGGTCATTCGGACAACATCCATAAGCGATAACTCATTGAAATGTTTTTGATTTGTAGATAAATCCAACGGTTGTTTGAGGATATCATTTGCAGTAATTAATTCCTTAAAAATTATTTAGATTTTTCCAAATTTTATAAAACATATATAGCAAAAATTTCGGTTTGGTTTTGATTTTTAATTTGAATTTAATATGGTACTTATTTTGTTGTGCTACTTTAATTGATAATTAGTACTTTCTCAGATAATGAAGTAATTTACTTGTAGTAGTAATTTATCGTCTGCAAACAATCGTTCAAATGCATCCACAGAGAAGCAATTATCATCTGAAATTATTTTACTTTAAAATATTTTAATACTATCAAAAATTATTTACTAGAAAGTAAAAAGAATTGACACTCATATAGCAAATCAAAAATTTGAAAGCAAAAGGTAAAATAAACGTGCAAAAACACAAATGGTTTCACGTGAATGTCACGTTTTCACAGCTTATTGTACAAGGTTTTGCTTAGTTTCTACTTGATGTACATCAAAAAAAAAAAAAAAATGAAATTTTTGGACATATTAACTAACTCATAAAAAAAAAAATGAAAGAAAATAGGAAAAAACTTATACCTGAAATGTACGCCTGTTGTATGCCTGTTGTTGCCGATGTTGCTAAACAAATATTTCCATCCCAAGTTGTTGACATTTCCGGTAGAACGGATACTGGCATTTGTGGCATGGGTGTTAAGCAATTCGATATTACCGGTGGATAGTCTATCCTATTTTTAGCATTAAAATTGAATGTCATATTTCACAAATTACAAATTACATCAAAATTTTAATTTAAAATTTAACGAAAACCCTCGCTCAGGACAAAAATTGTCGTGATTTGGTCGAGAAAATTGATTCACTGGATTGAATGGAGCAATAATTTCATTTGATTGCGGAAATCTTTGCTCTGTAAATGATGATGATACAGCAATCAACTTAGTATCCGCAGGATAGAATCCACAAGTACATCTGCATTGGCAAGCTGTTAGACATCTGAAAATTTTAACATTTGTAATAAATTCATTCAATTGTTTTCTTTTTTTTCAATCAATATCAAAGAAATGAGTGTTACAAGTTACATTCTATCAAATTATATTCCATTTCACTCTTTCATGTTTCAAAATCTGAAATATCATAACGATAAATTTAAAACAACAGCAATAACAAAAACAACAACAAAGATGAGTTCAGCAAACTTAAATTCTAACTCAAAAGCAAAAATTATTCATGACTTGGTTGAAAACATTCTACAACCTAAAATAATTTAGAAATTATTTAGACAATAATTCCAATTAGTGAAAATTTATCATTTATTGAAATACAACTACCTATTAAAAAAGAAAAAAAAAATAATACATGTTGAAATAAAACACACTAAATTTGAGTATTGCTGAATAATTTTCATTAAGAATTCTTGATTTGATTAAATAAACTATTACCGCAAAGTTGATTTTTTAACAAGTTCTACAAGAATTTGTTTTGGTACCGCAACATCACCATCATCAATTTGATCAAATATTTTTTTGATTTCTTCATCATTTTCCGGAATTGTCGATAATCGATGTTTTCGTGATCGATAACCTTCTCGCATTATCCACTCCTTTTTCATGCCTACCTGTAGAAAAAGGAAAAGTTTCCATTTTTAATGTTAAATATATTTGTCAAATTGAAAGTGAATATATTTGTACGTTTTGAATTTTGCTTGTTTAATTAATAATTTAAATTGGAAATGAAAAAAGTAAGGTATGAAAAAAAGAAGAAATCAAAACGATTCTTTTATTTTTGCACTTTGTTACAAACCTGAAAACAACGTTGCAATCGACATGATTGACAAAATCTTCGTTTTAACACATTTATGACACATTTTTGATTGAATGGACATTTTAGAGACTTAAAATAATTGCTTTTAATTAATAATTAAAAAAAAAAAAGAAACATTTAGAATTTATTACACTACAGAGAATGCCTTTTTAAATAAATAAATCCATCTGGAAATAAACTGCGAAATGAAATTGGTGATAGCAGTAATGTAATATTTGCCTTATTAATAATTAGATAAGTTTTAATCAAAAATTTGATGAAATTAGATTAATTTCTATTAACATAATATACGATTACTGTTTTAATTATGAACATAGTATAAATTTCATGAAGTTAAAGTTAAGTATTTTAATTTTATGAAAAAAAAAAAATCTAATTAATAACCTCTTGACGATTAGCATTACGCCGAAAAAATGCTTTACATGATTCACATGTTATCACTGAGAAATTATAACCAATGGCACGATCACCACACACCTATTTTAATTAATTACTTTTTAATATTTTAAATATAAAATATTATTTTAAAAAAAAAAAAAAATGACTTTTTTTCTTTCACACATTCTGCAGATTCCAAGGTAATTAAATTACCTTAAAGTTTGAACTATTTAAACTACATTACAATAAATGTGACTAAATAAATAAAACAGATAGCAATAAAAATTCATAAAATGAAAAAATAAACAATTAAATAAGTGTTTACTCCACTTTGCATGATTTTTCCGATGATTGTGAATCGTTATTTTTGCTATCAGAAATGGCTAAATCATCTTCACTTGACAGAGATGATGACATTTTTACTTTCAATGCTTTCATTTACAGACATAAACGACCAAAATACAAAACGCTTTTCAATTGCTAAGCTAACATTCTAAACTTTATCAGTCATTCAAAATGCTTATCTGTAATATTTTGATAACAAATCAAAAAAAAAAAAAAAAAAGAATAGAGAGATGGCTACAATTTTTTAAAATCTGAAAACATGTTAAACTAATAAAATTTTTCAAAATTTTTTGATTAACAGTAAAATTTATATTAACATTATATTAACAGTAAAATTTTTGGGGAAAAACAAATAAGAATAAAATAAACTTGCAGGATAGTTTCTTAATTCATCCCTAAATTAGATTAATCAGATCATTTCGTGTTTTTTTTTTTTTAAATCATTTTCTAAATACGTTTATTAATGATACAACATATCTAAAACTACCATTGAGTTTAACAATTTTTGATACACAAATAACGATAAATAATTAATTTGTTCAAATTTAATTTATTTTACTTCATTTTGATCATTTTCATTTAATTTATTTTAATCTGAAACTTACTTATGTTTTATTAAAGTTAGTTAAAGTTTTAACACTGAATTTAATTTGTCACATCACTGAGCCTATTCAGTGTCATATTAAAATATGTTTGCTTCAATTTTATTTAATATTAATTTCTCATTTAATTGCTTAAAAATAGTGCAAATAATTTCTCGATCAACTAAAGAAACAGCTGCTTTTCTTCAATAATTTAAAAAATTTCACTTTCACCAACATTGAAGCATACACATTCACACATACACAAACACATACGCATGCACATACATACACACATACATATGTATATATTTATACACATAAACAAATATGCATCATTTATCTATATCCCTGTAGCTAATAGATTTTAAGATTTTTTTTTTTTTTCTAAATATCAATTATCCTAGATGCTATGATAAGTTCACTTCACCTACCACCATTATTGTTATCATACGAACGTTTAACGTTTAATTTTCATCCTTATCAGCCATCAGTCTTCCTTTATTCATTCCTTTGTTCTTCTTGTAAATCGATAACAAAAAAAGTTTGATAAAAGTAATAGTTAGTCAATATTTTATATTTAAATTTATTTCAACTTATTATATATTCCAATCTATTGATTATACCATACTTTATTTTCATTTCAATACTTTTCCAACTTATTGATAATACTTAACCTTTTTTCCTTAAATTATAACAACTGTTTTATTACATCTTATCAAAGTGAAATAATATTATATTTAATATCGATATAATTGTTAGCGTCAAAAATGTTACAATCGAAAATTTGCCATTATTATTATTATGAAGTTATTTCACTTCATGGGTGATAGCAGTTTCATTTTTTCTTTTTATTGATCATTTATTTTGTTTGAATTTATTATTTCAGAAGTGAAGAAAAAATAAATAAATTCAATAAATTCAACTTCTACCATTTTTTTTTCTTTATTGATTCTTTTCTTTTTCCTTTATCACATGAACTATCCATTTATTTGTTCATTTTTTGCTACAAATGCATCACAATGGCAAATAAAATAGATTCATGATAAGCAAGCATTTATCTGCTAAATTTTGTTCCAGTAAAAATTTTTTAGAAAATATTTAAGAATAACAAAAAAAAAAAAGAAAAAAAGTGTATGTACCAATACAAATCCCGGATACTCTGTGTCTTTGATTGAATACTCTGTATCCAATCAAAATTATCACTATTTTTTTGAATCAAAAAACTCTAGAGATTGGGAATCAAAAAAAAAAAGAAATTTAATGGACTTGAAAATTTTAATAAACAAAATTAACACTACTTAATAATTTGATATGATAGCATACTTCACATAAATTTGCAAATATGAGAGAAAACATATATTTTATCCTAAATATATAATATTTAGCTTATTATTTAAAAAAGACATTATTTTACTATAGCACTAAAAATACTTAGATATAAGACTAATTTAAGTAATAAAATTTTGTCATAATTTTTTTTCATTTTTTAAAATTTTTCATTACTTATAAAGATTTCTTTTTTTACTTTCTTTAATTGAATTTATTACTTAAATTGCAATAATGACATGATTGATATCGAATTTAGATAACACACTAAAAAAGAGGAAACAACTCATAAAAAAATTATTCGTTTCATTAAAAAAAAAAATTTCATCAATTTAAATTAGTCTTATTTTAAATTATTCAATTTGATGAAAACATCATGCATCTGCAATTTTTGTCCTATATCAATTGGATTAGCGGCACAAAGCAATTCCTTTAAAAAATAAATTTAATCAATTTTTTTGGCATATTTTTGATGTTGCTTTGTTATTATTTAATTAACTCAACTATTACGGCCAAGTTATTATCATTATTTCAAAACAAAATGCCATTTACATAATCAAACTGAACGATTTAAGCTAAAAAATTTCAAAATTTGTCCATGACTTAAAATTGTTGGTCAAAGGTTTATTCTTATTACTTGATTCATTTCAATCGTTTTCAACTATTTTCTTTTTAGTATTACACCAAATTTTTTTTTCAACATCACTGTAGAAATTACCACTCATTTTTCTTTCTTTTCAAGTTTTACATTTCGAATAATAAATCTCGTGCTTTTTTTTCTTTTCTTTTGTTTTTTTTTTATCAGTATGTTTATCTCTATCATATGAGGGAAATGCCAATTAGTTTCGTTATTTCAACTGCTGTGAAATTTGCGTGTTACATTCGAATTTCTTATTACTTTCGATTCCTAAATTTTCTAGAAATTATTTATATATTTCCTTTTTATTTTCTATCACATTACACGCAATTGTTTTATTCAGTATTGTCACCATTTTTGTATAAGTGGTACCGAATATTAACGGTACCATTTATATAAAAAAAGAAGTGGTACCGAATATTTATTTCTGACGATAATTCTATTTTAGCAACAATTTGATTACTTAATTAATTCGTGTGATTTTGATAAAGTTAGTGAGGTGGTGATCAACTTGGTGACACAAATGATAAACCTTCTCTTCACTTTTCCATGGTTATATAAGTTGACACCAATATTCTTTTGTCTTTTTATAATTGCTGTTGATGCAGCTACCGATTTATCATGCAGCTAATTAGATGCTTAATTAAAAAGCTTCTTTACGAATCCAAACCAAATTCAATTACTTGTAAACAGGTCCTATCACCATTTATCGCTATCAGTGCAAGGATGCAAGCAGTGCATGCACTATTTGCAGTCACAGTTTTCTTATCCTTCACAATATCGATTTATTATGATTGCATGTTTATTAATTGATTGTTTGGGCCATATTGTCATTATTTTTTCTATTTCAACTATAGGGCTCATTTCTTTTGCTGATTTCAGCAATCTGAAAAATGATCAAATATTTGTGACAATTATTCCTTTAATACGTTCATTTATGTCGATCTTAGCAAAGCTCTATTACCCTTTGCCCTCTAATATTGACACTATTGCATATTTTTTAATTCCAAATTCACTTTGCTTGCTAATGATTGAATTTTCCTTAATTTCAAAACTTTCTGAAATCAATTTTTTTTTTTTTTTTTTTTTTCATTTACAGGGAATAAAGAATCAATATCACTTTTGCCCTTAATGTTCCTGTAACTTTCAGTATTGTAACAAAAAGAGAAAATCATTGCTGTAATTATAGATGATCAAATTGTCAAAGATTCTTCTTTTACAAAAACTTTTATAATCTATTTATGCTATAAACAAGCTTATTTGTCACTTCTGTAGCTTTTTACTGCAATTTTTTTAAAATTAATAGTCGATCTTTCGTCTTACCGGTTCCTCAAAAATTCATAGGAATAACACAATTCTTTGTGTTTTAAGTTTTACCATTAACAATCAAAACTGCCTTCAAAACTTTCTGAAATCAATTTTTCTTGACTAGTTTTATCAATTGATCTAAAATGAATTACCAAATTTTGCATCACTACTACTACAATAATTAATTATTACTATTGTCTTTATCACTGTATTATTATTTATCATGGTTATTGTCATTGACTAATTATTATTAGTGCCGCAAATATTATTGTCGTTATTCTTACTAATTTACCACTATTGTTGCTAATACTTATTTATTAGTATTCTCTGTCTTCAAAATTTTCTGGAATCAATTCTTAAAATAGAAATTGTTATTATTATCGCTATCATTGCTGTCTTTTTCCACTTATTATCTGTTTTGTTTGACAGTATTAAGCACTTTTTTTTTTCATTTTATTCGTTCCTTTTTTTTTTTTCTTTTTGAGAATAATTCTACTTTTAATATGCATTTTAATTTTTCATATATGCCTGAATAGTTGGCTCGTTTCACTCTGGATTTAAAAAAATTTTCAAAATTCCAATAGCCCATTAATTCCATAAAACTTTTGATCATATTCTTAAAGTCAATATTTTTGACATTTTTCAAAACTTCAGTTTCCAAAAATGGTATTTGGTCCATTTTTATTATTTGAAACATATGGAAAAGCAAAACTAGTATAGCTTGCTTCAGCCTGATTGTTTTTTCCACATATTTACTTCTGTTAGTTCATTGCTAATAAATTTTACGAGATTTTTATTTAGGAATAAAAAAGAAAAAAATATGATTAGCAATAAAATAGAAGTTAAAGAAACAGATATGGAATCAGAAATGATTCAGAAAAGTATGGCAATTGCTTTGGAAGCACAAAAACAGTATTCACTCGATAAAGTAATTAATTATTTCTTCTAATTTTGTCTAAATGATGATGTAGCATAGAGGAATTTCTATTCTTATATTTTCGGTTAATGTCATCTTATTGCTGCAATTTTAATGAATGAACAATAACTATTTAGTGTTTAAATTTTGATTTTAAATTAAGTTTTCAGATCCTGAATGTAAAATGTATTCAGCTAAAAATAAAGCAATTTTACCTTAATATTGTTATCGCTTTAACTCATCGATGACAATCAAATCCATAATTTGAAGAAGTTGTAGGAAATTTTTTTATTTTAGAAAAAGATTTGAAAAAAAAAAGGTTAACAATCCAAATCAAAAAGTTATTTTTTTCACAGATAAAACTATTTAATTGACTATTACATTTTTAATCTAAATTTTAATATTTTATTTCCCATAAAACCATAAAATTTGGATGAATAATCATAAGAGTTATAAATTGACACTCAACTAATTTTAGGATATGGCATTTTATATCAAGGAAGAATTCGAAAGGAGATTCGGTCCTACATGGCACTGTGTTGTTGGGAAAAGTTTTGGCTCCAGTTTCTCATACGAAATTCAACATTTTATTTTATTAAAATTTAATCAGTTATCCATTATGATATTTAAATGTGGTTATTAAAATAGACAAAAGATCAAACTTTGCGTAAAAGTTCTAGTTTATTATCTATTCCATTAATTTAAAATTGGTAATTTTAGACGGAGGAAATCAACTTCATATCATCAATTTGAACATTATCATTAGTGTTCCCATAAAAAATAATGAAATCATCTGAACAAAAAATTATAATCTGCTTGCTAATCAACTGCAAAATATTTAATTTACCTTTTGCTAAGTTATATTTTGTATAAAAAAGAAAGACTGTCATCTATCTTACGATGTATGAGTTGTGACTCGAATGTTTTCCTTATTTTTTTTTTTTTTTTTGGGAAAAAAATTTTACTTTTGTTCTTTTTTAAATAAACATAAGCATTTATTATCCTCTTTTTTAAGTCAACATATTTTAAGATAGCACAAAAGTGGTATTTGAAAGAAGCGAATTGAAACATTGAAATGTTTTAAAAATATTATTTTATTTTTTATATGTGAAATATATTTTTAAGTATATTTTTGTATGAACTATTTATTGTATTTAATAGTAAATGAAATCTTTTAAAATTTTATTGTGAACAAAATTTCATTAAATTACTAGCTATTGAAACCTAACATTTTTTTCTTGGATAAGTAAGAAGAAGTCATTGAATTTCTTCTGAATTAAAATGTCTTATTTGTTCCTTAATTATTTCAATTTGAGATAATTTTAATTTCTAAAGATAATATTAATAATTTTTTTTAAAAAAAGGACAAAATGTTAATGTTAATTACACTTATCGTTTCAGATATAAATTTTATAAAAGCTGTTTTATACCAAAAAAAAGAAAAAAAGATTTAACAAAATAGCAGTAATGAAGCTTATGAAAAAAAAAAAAAAAAAAACGAACTTTTACTCAATTAATTCCAAATAAGATGAAGTTTACATTTTACTTGAAATTAAAATATATTATTTATGAATTTACATAATATTAATGTAAAGAAGAAAAAAAATGAAAATGCACGTTAAGCAGCAAAAAAAAAGCATAAAATATTTAATGATAAAAGGAAAAACGAAAGGACTATATTTGATGATTATTTTTTTTCAAATTATTAATCTCTTTTCTTTTTCTCTCTTATCAGATGACAAATTTATCATATTACTGGCTATAACAATTAATTATTACACTGTCTTAGCAAATAATATTAACTATCCAGGTGACAGACAAGAGGAAAAAGACAAATATATTTGCTTACATTTATTCTCTCTGCAATATGTATAAAACAATTCATTTCGTTTTAACTCGTGATATTATTTCAAACATTCCTTCCTTATTACTGTACATTTGGTCAGTTAATTAATTATACTAATAATTGGTGATATTTTATATTGAATTAGCAGTAGAATTTGTTGTAATATTTCAAATTAAATTGATAGTATGGCAAGAATAGAATATTTCAAGGATGTTTATTGATAAATGCTAAAATTACTCTAAGAAAAAAGATTATACATATACATTTATTTATTATTGATTGAAAAATAATTATAATATATTTCTAAAATTAACGTTAGTGCTGCTTGAAATAAATAACTTTTCATTTCCATAAATATAGCAATAATCTGAAGTAAAAATGATTAGAAATAAGGTTCTCATGCTTATGTTTTATGATAAAATAAAATTTATTTCTAAAAATGAAAAAAAAAAAATTCAAAATAAAAAATTAAAGACATCATTGCGAATTCGAATATTGTTAGAATTGATCAATGAATCAAGCACTAGAAGCTTTTTCGTAAAAGTTTTGATCAACATTTGTGTGTTTAACTATACTATCAAAATTTTAGAGTTTGAAACTATTTTTGTTCTTATTACAATATTAATTAGAATAACTTAATAGAAATTTTAGATCGAAATGCAATAAATTTCCATGTTTAGCATTTTGATCTAACCATTAAAATATAGCAAAATATTTATCTAAAAACTTTTCAAGCTTTATTGAATTATGATTTCAATTATTATTTTGTTTATTCTATTCATTCGCAAAAAATTTCTCAAACATTTCATAATTATCATATCATATTTATCAAAATATTCCAATTACTATTGACCATTTATTTTTATTTCAACTACTTCTACACTTAACAATATCATATCACATCAATCACGATATCATGTGCCCGCATTATCAGTGTTAATTTAGATAAATTATATTTCAGGTGAGCAGGTGAAAATAATGGCAAATACAGAAATTGATGGTACATTTTTTATCTCCTTTAAAATTAAAACATTGTGTTTCAGAAGTATTACTGCTATATTTTGATAAGTACATGGATTAAATTAATTGATTACCATATAAATTTAATGTCATTAATCAAAAATTCGGGATAAAAAGATAACAAGAATATTAGAGATAATTATTAGGATCTTTAAATTATTATTTGTATTAAAACAAAAAAAAAAAGAATGATGAATTTTTTGAAAAGTAACTTCATTTGGAAAATTTTTCAAAATTCAAAATTTCAAATGAAAAGAATTTTTTATGAAAATTGAAATCAACTATATTCTTTTGAACGATCATTAATAAAATTATAATTTCGAAATCCTACTAGCATTTCATTTCGTTTATCATTTATTTTTCTTAATTCAGCAAAAATAAACTGGTTTTTTCCTAATTATTAATTAAAATTTAACATTTTTCAGATCTACTCAGTCAGGTATTTGCAGCACCCTCTATTTGCCACCTGTAAAATTCTCATCAAATGCACAGTGTGCAACACAAAAGGTACCTCACTTATCACATTTTATCAACAAAAATTTCTCTTTCTATTTGCTTAACAACTATCTTCGCCATTTTAGAATGCATTCTTTTTCCTTTTAGTGTGACGATATGAATTTTGTAAAGTAAATAAGGAAAGCAAATTCAGTTATTATAGTTTTAAAATATAAATAAACTTTTTAATCCCTAATTTCTTACTAGGAATATATTCCTTTAACTCACTGATATTTTTTATAAATGATAAAAATTTTATTAGGTTTAAACATTAAAAATCAATTATTGTATTCTGTATTGTAAATTTCAAAAATCCATCTGTTTTAGCTAAAATTATCTATAAATATTCTGTCCTGTAATTCCAATTAATCCATGATGTAAAATTCTGTTAAAATATTTCTCTCCTTCCCTCTTTCTCTCTCTCTCTGTCTCTCTCTTCCTTTCTCTGTGCCTCCTTCTCTCACACACATATATATATATATATATATATATATCATTTAGAAATTGACATTTAGTGTATTAATTAATACAAGAAAGCTATCAAAAAACCATAATTTTTCACTAAGTAGTGACGAATACAACTATTAATTTATTAATTGAATTTTTCTCAAATATTATAGAATTACTACTAATTGTATTAGTCTAAAATAATACTGCAAGCATAAATTTTTATGCAAATAAATGAAATGAATCTTTTTCTTTTTTTTTAATTGAAGAAAATAACATGAATATTTAAAATAAAGAATGGAAAATCGATTAACTACGAAAGTAATTTTTGCAGAAATACCTAATTCTATTTTTATTTTTATTTTTTTCATTCGTAAAGAATTGCAATATTTTAAAGAAATTATTCCATAAAATAGTATAAAATAAACACGAATATTTCCATCAATGGTTAAAATATTGTATTACACTTAAATATTTTTTGATTTTTTTAAAAGATATTTAAATATATATATGCTAAAATTAATTACCAATTGATATACTGTGCATTTAACAGCCATTTTTTGGTGAATACCAATAGAGTTTAGATGACATATAAGTATTCTTTCACTTGATTTGATAAAAATATTCCTATATTAATTAATGTGATCAAAAAAAAAAAAAAAAAATGGTTAATTCAAATGATTGATGTAAAAAATTATAAGGCAGATAAAAGGTTTTTTAGCTTTTTCCAGTCAGTTTCTTTTTCAACAATGCAGTTATAGAATTTAGGTAATATTTTTAATACACATTCTATGCATTATTAATAAATTTCTTCAGAATTTATAGTAGCAATATTGTAAACAAATGAATTTTTAACTTTTTTAGTCTGTGATTTTCATGAAATGAAATATATATTGAGTCAGTTAATGCACATAACGAATAATGAATAGATGACACAACACTTTGCTAAATTTAAAAAAAAATCAAGTAAATAATTGTTAAATATGATAGCACTAAGGATATAATTGATTTAAATTAGGAACTTAGCTTATAATAAATAAGCATACAATTTCTTAGCTGGGAATTTTTTCCAATTATTACAAGATTAAAAGATAAAAAATGATTAATTAGTGATTATATTAACGATTAAGACTTTTAAAATGGAATTTTAATTTTATCATATGATGAAAAACTGATTGATATTAACATTTGAAAAAAAAAAAAAAAGAATATGAAGTGAAACTTAAAAGAATGAAGAAAACTCACATACTGACGTATAATAATAAGTATAACAGAAATAATTGGAATAGCTAAATTTAAGAAAAAGGCAAAAATTGAAAGAAATGAATAATTAAAAATATAAAACTCCAAAAAATATAAATAAAAAGAGATAAAATTAAGATGATAAACTGCTATTCTAAGGAAAGAAAAAAGAATAAATCAATTTTTAAAAAAGACAATTATTCTTCTTTGAACTTTAACAAAAAGAAAAAGAATCGTACTATATGATAGATAGGATATAAAACTCCAACAAATATAATAAAATGGTGACAATGACAAGGTTTGTAAGAAATTAGAAGAAATTCATAATTGATGTATCATGTGCCACTGTTAGAAATACATTGGTGTAGGATTGAATCGTATCAAAGTCGATCATTAATTATTATTATTATATTCCATTATTATTGTTATTATTAATATTATTATTACTATCTATTTCTTGCAAATTTTTAATTAAATATTAAGTAATACATTGAATATTAATTAACAGCAATCACCAAAGATTAATCCACTGTTCGGCACAATTAGCTATTGATAATATATTCAATTGGTGGGAATACAAAAAATTTCTGGCC